GTCAACAATCAATTAAAATAATTAGCTTAGAAAAAACTTTTGCTCCTGCATAAGTCTGCACAGAAAAAACATTTTTCCCTGGAATTTTTTTTAAAAGAAAGCTCTTGATTAGCTCTATTTAATCATTTAAAAATTGCAAATTTCGAAAACTTATGATTTTTTACCCTGGATGATACCTTAAAGTATCGGTGAAATTGAAGCTTCAAAATAATGATGTGCCTTTGCCTTCCCTTGGTTAAGGGGAATTTGATAGAATTTGTATTGGATCTCTGAGATTAAAGTGGGAAATTTGACCTCCATGTGCATAAGGGGTGGACTTGCCTTGAACTCTTGTGCTCATCCTTGCACAAGGCATGGCAAAACATGAAAGTCATTGCAGAGGCACTCTTGGCAAATTTCGAAAGATTTGTGGCTTAATTGTTGCAGATAACAGCTGTATGTGGCTTGGCCCTAGGTGAATTTGAACTCTATTTTTCCCCAAATTCTAGTGCCTTAGCTGTGGGGTTGCCAGGGGGAGGAGTTTAAGTTGACCAATAATATTAATACAATGTCTACCCTGGATTGGGTACTTCCTTATATAAGCAAGCCATAAAGGTATGTGCCGCTCCAAAGGGTATGGTTTTTGTGGCTTTTCAGTCTAAAAAAGGGTATCTCTTTGCCCATTTAGGTCTTGAAATCAGGTATGGAGTGTATACGTATTTGTCGTTTCAATTCCAAATGAATAACAAAGAGATGTACGAGAATTTGGAAAGCATTTTAAGAAATTTAAGTATGATGACATAATTTCTGCCTATGAGGCCAGATCTGAAAGCAGGGTTCTCAATAGAAGGCGGCACCCGGCGATTGATCGCCGCTTACTTTGGGATTTATAGCCGCTTACTTTGTGTTTCAGTCGCTTTTCTTTGCTTTGCTTTGACACCTCTGGCTTTGCTGAAGAGCCTCCTACTTTAACAGTGATTACCTCCTACTTAAAAAACTATTGAGAACCCTGGAAAGTGGGTGTAATTTAAGAGGCCGGGTCTGAAAATGGGTGTGAAAAATGACACTTTTTGGTCTGAAATATGATCAGGATTTGAAGAGTCAGGCGGCACACCCCACTAAGAATTCCCAGGGGTACTAATCCCAGGGATGTATATCAGATTTTTAATAATACAGATAATTATAAAAAACATCTATTTGGCATTATTTTATTTTACCTATATTAGCATTTAATTAGCCGGAGTCCCAGGGGGAGAGGGAAGGGGGGGTGCTCTAGATTTCAAGTGATGGGGATGATCGATGGAATTTTTTGGGTTTGAAATTCTCCATTCTGGGATTTTTTTGGGTAGGAAAATGTGGCAAGTATTTTTTTGTATATTTGTGGGGATTTTTTGGGTATTTAAAACAATCTGAAGATTTGTGGTAGTGCCCATGTATCCTGGCTGAGTAGTTCTGTGAATAGAGTACAACCAAATAAAGTACAACGTGTTATATCATTAATTTTATATTTAATGCTTTATATTTAATGAAAATTTCAGAAATTTGGCATGGGATTGTTTTGGAGTCTATAAATTTTCGGTTCTGGGATTTTTTTGGGATTTTCTTTTCGCCCCCATTCGATCATCCCTGTCACTTGAAATCCCAGTACCCTCCACCCCCCTCCCCTCCCCTCCCCTCCCCCAGGGCCAGAATTTATTTGAAAGGCTATTAAAAGCCATAAAATGAAAGAATGTCAACTTAGGTTGATTTTTTCAAGAATAAGCAATTTATCTGTCATATTTTTTTTTTATCCCACTATAATTATCATTTAAATAATAATCTGAGTTTGTTTAGACCTTTAATTACATTTTCTAAATTTCATGACTCTTTCAGATGAAGTTACATGAAGCAATAAAATTGTATTCATTTGAAGATTTATCTGTCTTGTAGAATGAGTAAGTAGTTGTACAGTTTTGTTTGTACCATGGCCACATTTATCAAGTTTTGCACAGTGTCACCATGCAAAGAAAGAGTGTTGTCCAATAGCCCAGGTCTGGTGGATTTTGTCATTGGGCTTCAGTGAATTCTGTTCTTAATTTGCCCGATGGGTAAGTGAAGTTTTTTAGGGGTGAAATTCAAATTACAGAAGAACTGCAATCAATCCTGTTCATGAATGTTATTATTTTTTGGGGGGTTAGTTCAAATGACTTTTCAGGCTAGTACATGCTAGCTACAGCTTGCTGAATGGCAAGCTGTAAAACTGACTTCCTTTGTACTCTTAGTCTGTAAACATTTACTTGAATCAATCCTAATTATTTCTCTCTTAATGTCTGGTCAATTTTATTGCTTTTTTTATGAATAACTGTTGATTGGTATTCCATTTTACCAAAATTTGTCCTGTCTCTACTTGTGTCCTGCATGTCCTGGCCAGTTCAAACCTGGTCCTATGTTATCCTAACCTGACCTTTTCTCACCTAGTATGGGGCAGATTTGCAGAGCCCCATTGCTACGAAAATTTGGTAACCTATATCCATCCAAAAAATTTTGTATGTGAAATCAGCAGATGCCCGGCAACTGACCGTCCCTACATTACATGCAAACTGATGTCAAATGTCACACTTCAATACTAGCTAGGAGTCTAAGGCATACAGTGTACTATCTGTGTTTAACTGGCTGTTTAACTTGGTATTGAATATCCATGTTATGGTCAATTGACAACTATCAAAAAAGGTGTCCACTGACCAGTGTTAAATGGCTGTATTGCAGGCTCAGGTGTACAACTCATAGAGGTGACATATTCTTTTAAAGTTATCTGCTGACCAGTTTTTTTACTTGAGAAAGACATTTCTTAAAACATCCCTGGAGAGCTTTGCTTTTGGCCTTGGCCAAATCTATATATTAGTTCAAGAAAATAAATGCTGATGATAGAAGCTTCGAGGAAGTGAGGGGGATAATGCTGGGTGGGGTCCATAAGCTCCCCCCCCCCCATCCCCCCCAATTGTTTTAGTTAGTCCTCAGCTGGTGGGCCACTGTTCTCCCTAAGTACTTAAGGTGGCTGCCTGGCTTAATTCACTGGAAAATTGTATTACTGCCTGGCTTTAATACCAAATATTAAACTGAATGGAAGCTTAAGTTGACATCCAGAGCTAGGTATTTCAAAGACAAAAGCACTCAATAAAGTTGATGAAACAAACATTTTTTATTCAACCTACAGCAGGCTTTGTCTAAACACCATTAAAAATCACAGTCAGAATACCCCTTGGCCTTCCCAAAATCCTAGGGAGAACACTGTAGACATGTCTTGTCAATACAAATTTTAATGAATGAAACAGCTGAGGGCATTAGCCTTTTAATGTATACAAATTTCTTTTCTTTTATTTTACCAGGCAATTTTCTAAAATTTAAAATGTGAAAATATACTTTATCTTAAACTTTGACGTGATCTGAAGTTCAGTACACTGCATGTTTAGTCAGGTTTCTCTTGCAAATTATTGAAAAGGTAGTGAGTCGAGGAGATCTGATGCAGCTCCCTCAGCTTCAAGGCATCTGCAGGCTCCTTTGAACAGGGCAGTAAAAAATTGGTACAAGAATATCAACAAAATGTAGATAACTGCAATTGTACTGGGCGATGTGCTAAAATTTCACTAGGGAGTTACCGTTTTTCTATTAATCAGGGACCAACTTGTATTCATGCTTCCTTCCCCTCTTCAATTAGAAATATTAATAAGTCAAGTAATCAGTGCTTTTATGATTCTTCTACTCAGGGTCGGCCTTAGGGGTAGAGGAATACCAATATACCTGAAATAAACCTTCCAATATACCAAAAATCATACTCAAACTCATGGCAAAATTAAGAAAACCATGGTATACTTTATACCCAAAATTTGTCGTGAGTGAATACTTTATACCCAATTTTAAGCATTAAGGTGATTCCCTGGTTTTGCACTGCGCATAACAACATGGCCGCCGTAATAAAGAGCATGTGAAGTAACATTATTAAAATGAAGTTGACTGAAGAGAAACGCTGTGGGAATTTTTGCTTGCTGTTGTTTCTTGCCGAGGTGAGACCCAATGTGTTGGAAATGTGCATAACGTAAGCAGTACGCGTGTTGCTGAGTTCGACTTCCTCTCGGAGAACCGCGATAGTGGATGTTTAACTTGTGCTTACTCACTCTGATTTTCATTTAAACGCTTTCTTTATCACATTGTGTCCTAAATGTGATATCTCGATGTAAATTCTATAAAAACGGATTTTTTAATTCTTTCTTCCCCCTTTCACATACATTCTATTTTGAAACTCACCCCAGTCCTCTCTCAAAAATCTCTTAAGAAAGTGCATTTGGTGCACACTTTCTGCAGCTCTACTGCAAAAACGAGTGCGGTGACCCCCATTTTTTATTTCATGATTTTCATAAAGACACTGCTTCCTTTCGATGAGAAAAAAACTGGCACAAATCTATGTTCAGTTTTTTGGCAGTTTTACTAAATTGTACGGATTGAGCTATCACGGGTCGAATAGCGCGTGTCCAATTTAATTCTACTTTGGAGCGTAAAGTAAAAACAAGGGCATTAAAAGGCATTTTTCTGGTACGTAAGTGGATAAACAATACATTAAAGTCAAATTCTGTGCGATACCACATGTATCATCAAAAAAATCCCTCGTTTTTGTCTAGTTTTGGGCTACCCGCGGTTTTTGTAAAAGGGTCCTAAATAACCGTATTTGTCAGCATTGTGACGTCAAAAAGTGCACGGTGACCCCCGCTTTTTATTACTTTTTTATCATCTTCTTGACTTGTTACATCAGTGTACCAAGTTTCATTTACAATCTATGTTAGGTTCTTTTACTAAGGAATCACCTTAAAAATACTGTATACCTGAAATTAAATACCCCAATATACAGTATACCCAAAAACGCTGGCCGAACCTGTCTACGCAGACCATAGTTATAATAAAATGTGGCTATCAACCCTTTCTTTGGCAGTGTTTTAGGGTTAAAACTATAAAAAGATGTAAGAGTATAATACTGGTCCCCTTTTTCCTTAGGTTTTAATCTCATTCAGCCATCGCTGATTCAGCAGTTGAAAAAAATCTTGGATCAGTACCCGGATGATGGACAGATTCTGAAGGTGAGGCAGAGGACAACATTAATATGCTATAGGAATCTTTGTGTAAACTGATTGCCTCCTATGAAGGGAAATTATCAGGTCAACAATTGAGTGAATTCTCCTATGGCTGTTTTACAAAAGTACGAGAGGATGTAATCTGTAAGTCTAGTAGAACTACATTTCTAGTGAGGCCCTTTTAGGAAGGTTAAGTACAGTGACTGTGTAAATCATTTGTCCCTAATCTGAATTGAATTTTAAAACCTTTAGTTTTGCGTATTGAGGAAGCCATGTCGCTGTCAGTATTTCACGATTGTATTTGTGCTTTTCTCTGTTGCTGTGGCAGTTTTAACCCATCTTTGTGTCCGTTTGTCGCCATTTCTTCTGTCCTGCATGTATGTCGTTTGATGGAATTTTACCCTAACAGGGCCTCTTAAGTAATAAGAACTACTTAGGAGATATTAGTTGATGAAATGCTGGCTTTGTTTTACCCGATTTCAAAACTGTTTTATACGAAAGATAATCTTCTAAATTTCTTTGACTGCCGAATACATATAAGGTGGAGATAAAGCATTTAGAAAGAGTCAGGGGCACCCAAGGAATGTTTTCTGTAAAATACTTGTTCGGAGAAGCAGATGTTGCCAGGAATTTCTATTACTTGAGGACGGCTAATGGTAAGGGTATTTTTCGTAGATGAATCAATTTTAGCCATTCCCGTGGTAATTGGCTGAAAACCAGTCCAAAAAGAGGAACTGGTGAAAAATGCGGTGTTTTTGCTACTTGCTGGCATGAGATCTGAGAGTTTTTCCTCATGATTAGAAACTGGAGTCAGGAACTTGCAGAGATTGAAATTGTTTTCAATGACGTGTATTCCAAATAGTCCTTCAAATGAACTGAATATATTCACGGACTCCAACGAGAAGAAGACCTGTATGCCACTCTCTCCATTGTATATTTTCAAATTTCAAACATTTAATTCTCGGATTTTACTTTATGTCTAGGCTAACCCTGTATAAATGTGTTGTTAATGTTCGTATTCAGCTGTGATTTTTCATTCGAAAAAGGACTATTAATGGGAAGAATGATATGCACAGTGTTAAATAACAGCAGTCATTGCCTTTAAGCAGACAAATATGCCGTGTCTAACACAGGTTTAAAGGCGTCTTTTGAATCCCATTTTGTGTTTAGGAACTCATCCAAAATGCAGAGGATGCAGGTGCAAGTCAAGTGAAATTTCTGCATGACAAACACAGTTATGGAACAGAAAAACTGCACAGCAAAGAACTTGCTCAGTTCCAGGTAGTAGCGCCGGGCGACGCAGAATCGAAAAACTTAAGATGTCTGAGTAACTTGAATTGATTCAACTGATACTAGATTGTAATCGACAAACAGGGGTCGGGGACCATTGGTCATCCACCTACCCACCTCACCTCGTTTGAAAGTAGATCCACTCTTCCTTCACTCACTTCGTGTCCTGAAACGGAGGATAATAACTTTGAAGATTAGTTTAACAGGTCAATATTAAACAATAAATACATTAGTCAAACACAACAACATTTACTGCGGGAGGGTTAGCTCAGTTGCAGGAGCACGGGCCTGCAGAGTGCCAGATCGCGTGTCCGATTCCCGGGCCACACCAACATTCAAGTTCTTCTAATAACCGTAGAAGGCAATGCCTTTTCCCTGCAGTCAAGGAAATACGTTACAAAAAAGGCAACGAGCGTAACAAAGTCGATCGCCACGTGCATAAATTGGAATTAATTTTTGACTGGCCTAGCGAAAGGCGGAAGATTTCATGTCTAACTCCTTCCTTAGCTAAGCAAACCAAAACCAATGCAGATTTTTTTTGAAATTCGAGTAGACACAACTATCTTTCTTGATGTAGGATGCAATTCCTTACAGGGCCCGGCGCTTTATGCCTACAATAATGCTGAGTTCACGTCCGATGATTGGGAAGGCATCAGAATGCTGTGTGCAAGCAAGAAAGACAAAGATCCGATGAAAGTGGGTCGTTTTGGCCTGGGCTTCAAGTCAGTATTCCACGTCACAGGTAAACTGGTCGCTTAGTGAACAAGTCAAAAACCTTGGATATATTATGTTATTTGTTATTAAACCAGTTATCATTTATCTTCGCGAAACCAGATATTGACAAACTGATGGGGCTTTCTGAGTAAAGACGGTTTTTCATATAAATGAATTTCCACATGAAGAGACAAGGAACGGATTAGACGCGGAACAGTCAAGGTAGGTCAAACGTACCCCTCAAGATTCCATTAATGAATTGATTATTTGAAAAATGAATCCGGTAGTCGTTCCCGTAACTAGTGTCAAATTCAAATTCCTGGATGCGTAATGAGGTGTGAATATTTTACAAAAACTTCTCTATATCTGGTCAAATTGAAAATCTTTGACTGGTTAAAATTGAAGACATTTACATTAAATTCTAGGAAATTTAGATGGTAGATCTTTAATTAAGTGCCTCGCGTGTGAATTGATGGCTCATTGCACATGCAACAATGCAGAGATGAATCTGAAATCTACAACTGCCAACGGATTCAACTTTCGAATAATAAATTCATTAATGGATCTTGGGGGTATGCTTGACCTGGCTTGACTGTAATATACCATAGTAGAGGAGACTGGTTTTGAAAGTCGGGAAACATCAAAGATGAAAACAACGGTTCTTCAATTTATGTTGGAAGCTCCCTGGCCGTGCACAATCCTTTGTTAGTTGTTCACAAATTGTGACTGAATAAATTAATGCGATGTTTCTGTTGGTCGGTAAGTTCAAAATGATAGGAACGCTATTCAATGTTGTGCACGGTCAAGTCCAAAAGCTAATAAAAACATGTAACAAAGAAGTCTATCAGGCTTCATAACCATTCCACCTTACTAACGGCCTGGTAACCTCTAACTAAACGTTGCTTGGCTTAGCAGATTATACAACTAAATTGTTAGTGGTAAACAAATTTTTAACATTGATAAAAAAAAAAAAAAAACGTTCGCATCGGCTACTTGTATAAGTAGTGTTTCTTTTTATTGTTCCATTTTAACAGCAATCCTTTAGTTTAACCAGCAGCTTTTCCTTTTCTAACGTCATGTTGCCTGAAGTGAGGATTCATTCCTTTTTTCATTCTTGTACTACATTCTTAATTGACCACAGATCTACCAAGCATCATGAGCAACTCGCAGCTCGGTGTAATTGATCCGCACGAAAAATGCTTTGGAGAAAGACGCACAGGATACAGCTGGGACATAAGAGATGATCGTGATATCATGAACGCCATACCAGACCAGTTTGCTCCTTACAGGAGAGTATTTAACTGTAAAGAGGACATTTTCACCACAGGCTCATACAATGGCACCCTCTTTCGCTTTCCACTACGCAGTAAAGCCTCCAAGCTGTCACGGACGTTGTATTCTCCCGAGAAGGTACGCGCATTGTTCAGTGGCTTCATTGCTGACGCTCACTTAGTTCTACTTTTCCTGCAACATCTTGAATGCGTTGAACTCTACGTCCGTGAAGAATTAGACAGGGAACCCAGTAGAACCTTTCTAGTCAGAATATCCGAACAAAGCCTTGAGCTGGTTCAGGAAAAGAGAAAGGAGTTCAGGGGAAAAGTCTCGAGCGTTGAGCTTTCGTCCCACCCAGTTTACGTCACCTATCCAATCACGATTGAGACAATACAATATTACCACGGGCGAGAAACAATCAAACGCAGCCATTCGTTTCTTGTAACTAATTATTTTTGTGGCGGAGAGGTATGCTCTGAATTCCAAACCCTGGCTAAAGATCTCAGCTACTTACCCTTAGTTGGTGTTGCCATGGCATTACCAGCAAGCCCTCGCGAGCCCACCCCAGCGATTCAAGGTCACGTGTTTTGTATCCTGCCGTTACCAGTGCAAAAGACAAGCCTGACAGGTTTGCCGGTTCATGTGAATGGCTTCTTTGCTCTGAGTCAGAATAGATGTTATATCAAATCTCCAAACGCGCAACAAGATGATCTAAAAAGAGCCGGTCACCCTTTGACTGACAAATCCTTGAAATGGAATCAGTGTCTTTTAGAGGAGGCCATACCCAAAGCCTATGCCACGATGATTTTAGAAGCCATCAACGACAAGAGCTTCAAAGTGCAAGCAGCAGCCATTTACCAGTAAGTGACATCTGCAGTGTTCGTATAATCTGTGAACAAACATCCTCACGATTCCTTCCATGCTGCTGACCAAGCGGCCTATTCTGGCAATCAACCTTTTTAGCAGGCAAACATGATTCAAAATAACGTCTTATCAATGGAAATACTAACCAAGTTAATAACGTATCTATTTTTCATCAGATTTTCTAATAAGGGCCGGTAAAGTCTAATTCCCTTTGATCGCTTAAACGAATCGCAGCAATATTTCACTGTGCTGCCTCCAAAGATTACAAAACGGGACTTTCCTTTGTCATTGCTGGCATCACCATTGATATTTTATTCATTAGCTCTGCGATGTTTCATTTATTTTGTCTCAGAGCGTGGCCAGATCTCAGACTAGTCAAGCAGAAATGGGAAAGCATTATGGAGCCTTTGTTTGAGATCCTGTCGTGCAAGAAAATTGTCTTCACCGAAGCCAATTGGGGAAAATGGGTACCTGTTAAAGAAGCAATATTCAACCAGTTACCTGAAAACGATCTAAAAGAGCTTCTTCAAAGAGTCTTCCTTGGAGCGAACATTTCTGTTGTATCTCTACCCAGTCACGTGTTTGAAGCTATTAGCTCATTTTCTGCCTGTACGGAAATCGATCCCCGCTTCACGCGAATAGTTTTGAAGGAAGCACCAGCTTGTTATAGGAGGCTCAGGCTCACAAGGCGCGAGAAGCTACGGCTTCTTCATTTTTGTTTGCAAGACAATCAGTATAAAGACCTCTGTGGCCTGGAGCTTTTGCCTCTGTCCAATGGCAAATTAACCACCTTTTCACCCTTATCCCCGAAAATCTACATCTGCTCGCCTGAGCATCCTCAAGATCTTTTACCTGGTCTGCAAAACCGTTTCTTGGATCAAACAGTGGATCACGACATCATTCACAGACTAAAGCACGCAGCCAGACTAGGTAATTAAGATAGGGAGCAAGTGACACTGCTAGAATATTAGGGATTTTAAGCAAGGACTGCGGATTCGTCTAATGCAGTGACTGAGAGTATGTTTTCCAGGAATGCGTCAATGCCTCCAGCTTAAGATACCACGACGGCTTTGTGTAAACTCGCTTTTTGAATTCGCGTTATTACCATCTTTTTTGCGATTCCAACTAGTTTACTTTGTCAAATGTAGGGGAACTCTCGTAAGTTAAATCCCTAGAAAAAATTCAAGTTCAGTAAAAGAAAAAAGTTTCGTTATCGCTTGTGTAAGTCCTCCATAAAACGTGAAATTGGGCTTTTTCACGTAGTAGTCGTGCCGTGACGGAAAAGAAATATACAAAAATAGGTATGATACACGATCAAAGTTGTTGTGTTGTTAATTTAACCCAGCTAGCTCTTAACTGTACTTAGCCTGCTAGCAAGCTCTTCGGGGCGTGTACTTCACGAATACGTAGGATATCATAGCAGGCGCACTGAGAAGTGCATAAGCATTTAGTTGTATTTTATATGCCTAGTACGCCAGTGTTTGAAACTGAATTGTAAGACACGTTATACGCAATTCATTCTTTTCAGCCATCCAAAATTTTTGGCAATTTTGGAAGGTTTATTTTTCGCCCCAAATTCGGTCAGGCACGACACCCATATACCCCACATGCCACGTAAAATGCAGCCAAATACACAATAAGCAGTTGACGGAAAAGAGTGTAAATTATGAGGAGTGACATCTCACCCACTTGAAAACCGTGCACAAGCAAGTCATTTTTCTTCTGTTTTTACATTCCTTTGTCCTGGAAGGTCACTGCATAACTTCAACTTTCAGGAGAGTTCACCTAAATTTGACAAGTAGGCGTATTAGAATAATCGCAATATAGTTTGCAAAAACACGAATTCACTTTTTTAAGCTAGGTTTTTACCGTCGTCGTCGTGGCATCTTTAACTCTTTACTTGAAGTAATGAGGGCTTGGTAGAAAAGATATTACTTCCCGTCACCGTGCTGGACGCTTCCCTAGTCCTTGCAAAAAGTCCCTACTATTGACTGACCTTACTACGCCTTTTAATTTAAACAGGAGGGAGCATAAATCATGTTTTGTCGTTTGTGCAATATTTGATCCCCTCACTTGCCTGCCTTAATTCTTCGCACAATTTTTCTTGTTTGAAATCTCACGCAAGAATTCGAGATAAGTCAAAAAATGGGTGCGAAGCTTTCAAAATGATATCGCTGTTATGTAACAGGTTCAAATTTGTTTTTCAGATTAAATTTGTATAGCCTAGGTTGATTTTTGTCTCCTAAGACTAGGAGACAAAGGAAATTGAGAATCAACCTAGGCGGAATGAAATTTATCCTGAAATAATATTTGAGCTGTAACATTTAAAAGGCCATGATATTTTCTTTCAGTTGAATAATATTTTGTTCCGCATTGCCTCACATAATCTCTCCACTATTCCTTCAAATGAAGCTGCCTGCTCCGAAGAATTATCGTAATTAAAACAATCGTGAATTTTGGCGATAACAAAATCTCATCTTGCTTGCTACTGATTGACCTTCGCAGAGTGTACACAGTTACGACTTCTTTCTGAAAACGACTTGGTAAGTCTTCTTAAGGAATCCCTGCCTTACGACTGGAGTCAAGGCAAAACTGTTCTGTGGCATCCAGATGACCAAAACCACAACCATCCTCCAAGAGACTGGATCAAACTGATATGGAGATACCTTCGCGACCACTTTCCTGCTACAGAGAGACTTCAGCGACTTCAAAACTTCTCCTTAGTTCCAGTCAGTATGGAACAAGCAACTGTTACTTTGAAGCCACTTACGCAGCCCTCCACAGTAGTGATTAAAAGCCTGGGCGGGGACGTCATTGATGATGCTTTGATGCGTGTCTTGACAACGTTCGGCGGGGATGTCTTGACTGATTGTCCTCACTTCGTAATCGACCACCCCTGTATTTTGGACACTTACGTACATCGCCCAAATGCGCAAGGTATTTTGGACACAATTTTGATCTTAGCCTCCAAGTTCACAGTCGGAAGGTTGTCTGAAGTCTTGATAAGAGAGGTTTCCACCGAAGGAAAGCGAAGTTTGAGATCATTCCTTGCCAGTGTCAAACCAACGCAAGTAGGAAAAAGGGAACACATTCTCATGCTCTCTCTTCCCGTTTTTGAGACTTTTTCCAAGAGATTTGTGTCCAAAGAGGAAGGTCTACCAGCCGCACCTGTTGAATATCTTCCCATTCCGCCTCTAAGGGAACTCATTGACATTTCGCAAGACGATTCTAGGATTTTAGCTCTTCTTCTAAAAGTCCGGATTCTTAAACCCTTGGAATTGCTTTGCGAAATTATATTTCCTGACTTGCAAAAGGGCAAATATAATGGAGGACAGATTGACAGGTTGATGCCCTATGTGCTCAAGCATTTCGCAAACGTCATTCGCTCCGATGTTCACTTCAAGCGGAATGTACAAGCTCTGCCATTTCTGCCGCAGCTTCATCATAAGCAGCGGGTGAAGGCATCGGATGTCTTTGATCCCAGAAGTTACAATCTTAGAAGAATATTTGTCACTGAAAATGTTTTTCCCATTGGCCAGTTGTACAACGACGCGACCGTTCTTAATGCTTTGGAAGAAATTGGAATGAAAGAAGAATCCGACATCACTGCTGCAGACCTCCTTCAAAGCGCTAGGAAAGTTTCCGGCCTTCCAGACCTGCTAATTGCAAGACAGAAGTCCGATGCAATTTTGCAGCATATTAAGCTCTATCCCCAAAAACTGAAGAGCAAAGTTTATGGACAGGAGTTGGGATCTTTACTGATGAGAATTCAGTGGGTGCCACGGTTGCGCCACAAGCCATCAACATTCCCTCCCTCACTGCCATGGCTGGAAACATGCGAAGAAGGAGGAAGATATTTTTTTAAGCCATGTGAACTAAAGGGCCATAACGTAATAAATCTTATAGGAAGTGTAGAACCTGTTGTCGACTTTGAACCTTCAAGTGAAATTGCTGGTTGTTTTGGCTGGGTAGATAAACCAGAAGTCGTCGACGTCGTTGAGCATTTGGGAAATGTAGTCATGCATTACACTGATGATGAGAAGGCGTATTACATGGCATTGGTGAACGAAGTCTATTCGTTTCTGAGCAGTTCAGACTATTATGAAGTCAATGGGGCATTGGAATCTTCCCATTTCGAATGGGTGTGGAATGGAGACGGCTTTTCTTTCCCTAGCCACGTGATTGCCATTAAGCCACTCATTGACCTTACACCCTACGTTCGTGTTCTTCCCTCGGAGGTGCTAAAACACTCTAAGTTGTTTACACTTTTTGGCATGAGGACAGAAAGTGATCCATCTCTTCTGCTGCAAGTGCTTGGCTTCATAAAAGTGAAGTATAGCGGTCGCAGTTCCAGATTTAGCCCCTGTGAAGTAAGACATGATCTCCATTTAGCAGTTGACATTTTAAATGAATTGGCATGTGACCAATTATCGCCAGAGCTGCAAGAAAAAGTTATTTTGCCTGTGCGTGTCCATGACAATTCTTACGTCCGGCTTGAACCAGTTGAGCGTTGCATGTACACTGGAGAAAAAGAATGGCTGTACAGTGCTGGCCAAGACGAAGAGCAAAATTACCATTACGTACATTGGAGTGTCCCGAGCATCACTGTTGAACGTCTGGGTGTGCCATCTCTAACACATCGAATGTTAGACCCTGATGAGCTCTTCATAGGAGAAGAGTTTGGACAGGAGGAGAAGCTTACTACTCGATTGAGTCGACTTCTAGAAGACTACAAAGATGGACTTGCTGTGCTGAAAGAGCTCGTGCAAAATGCAGATGATGCTGGTGCCACTGACGTTAGATTTCTTTACGATGAAAGGACGAACGAGGATGCTATGACGTTTCTCATAGACGACGGAATGAAAAAGTGTCAAGGTCCTGCCTTGTGGGTCTACAACGACGCGACATTCAAAGATGAAGACTTTGTTAATATCACAAAGCTAAACGAGGCAACCAAAGTGCATGACACTGAAAAGATCGGTAAGTTTGGACTTGGCTTCAATGCAGTGTACAACCTTACAGATGTGCCAATGTTTGTAAGTAAGAACTACTTTGTAATTCTTGATCCTAACACATCGCACCTGAGGACTATCATCAAAAACAAAGCAAAGCCTGGTATCAAGATTGATCTCAACAAAGGTGTCAAGAAGCTGCAGACCTTTAAAAATCAGTTCAAACCATTCAATGGTGTTTTTGGCTGTGATTTAACACTTCGGAAAGAAGACAACTCATACGATGGTACGCTGTTCAGATTTCCTTTGAGGACAAGAGAACAAGCAGCAGTTAGTGAGATCAGAGACAAGTGTTACGACGACCACGAAATGCGGAAACTGTTGAGGATGTTCCTCGTGAAAGCAAACTCGTTGCTTCTTTTTACACAAAACGTATTCCGCGTTGGACTGTACTTTTTACCGAAATCTTCAGACCAGAATCTACAACCGTTGCTAATGTTTCAGGTTAATAAATCACTCGCCCAAGGAGGAATACTGAGAGAATTGTCCTTCCCCATCATACTACCAGGCACTGCGCAGAAACTGGGAGCAGAGCAGAAGAAGTTGTTGGTGCAGTCTAATTTTCTCCAAGCATCATCCAAGGTTAAAAAGAACTCCAAGATTAGGAAAGTCAAACCAAACGAAATTCCAGAATCGTCCATTGCGGTTGATTTGGAATGCGTTTTCACTAAGGTTGGTGCTAGTTTCTTTGAGATGAGCGAGCGTCCAAGTCGAGAAGTTGAAAGATGGTTAATCGTGTCCTCAATGGGGAATGGAGAGTCACTGGAGTTCGCAAAAAGTGACCCTAGTCTTCTTCCGTCCGGGGGAGTAGCTGTTCAGTTGTTGTTTACAGAATTTAACACCTTTTTGCCCAAACCGAAAGAAAATGGAACGGTTTTCTGCTATCTTCCACTCCCAATTCACAGTGGCCTGCCTGTGTTTATAAATGGCGCGTTTGCAGTGGATTCCAATAGGCGTCGTTTGCAAGGTAAACTTGAAGACGACAAGACATGCTATGGCGAGGAATGGAATAATGTTCTAATGACTGATTCCATATCTACTGCTTATTTGTGCTTCCTTGAAGATCTTAAGAAAATTCTCCCCGGAGACGGATCTTATGTTTTCCATTCACTGTGGCCAAAGGCTTTTGACGTAGCAGAACAATTCCGGTCTATTGCAAAGTCGTTCTACAAGCAAATTGCTAATGGAACCCATGCTCTGTTCTCCAATGGAAGAAAATGGGTTGACATTACTCAAGTGGTTTTTCTCCATCCAGACCTTCGCATGGATCCTGAAATTGGAGAAGTTTCATTTGCTGTGTTTCGTAACTTCACAAAAGGAAATGACTTGGTGATTGACTTACCACCCGAAGTGTTCCAGTCGTTTGAGTGGTATGGTTTGCTCAATGTCATCAAAAGTAAAACATACGACAAGTTTCGATTTTTCCGTGATATTTTCTTTCCAAACTTATCAAGAGTTGCTTCTGAACTTAGGAATGTTCTTGTGTTACATGCTTTAAATCAAAACAGCAGTGAGTTTGAAGACTTAATAATGAACAACGCCTGCGTTCCAGTGTCGCCTGGCGGAAAGGAACTAAAGCGGCCGAATCAGTTAGTGAATCCCGAGAAAGAAGCTTCCTCCTTGTTTCTCCCAGCTGATGGTAGGTTTCCCTATGGTAATGGAAGTACATTTTGTCAACCTCAAGTGCTTGCCAAACTAGAGAATCTTGGGATGAAGTCAAACGATCTACCCTGGAAAGACGTTGCAGAAAGAGCAGAGAGTGTCCAGCACGTTAATGCAGTTGACAGTAAAGCAGCAGTCAAGCGTTCCAAGGTTTTGCTAAGGTTCATTAAAATGAAACTAAAGCGAAAAGCTAAATACCCGTCGGATGCAATTGTGTCTCGCATTTGCAAAGCCGAGTTCCTTCCAGTTCTGGAAAAACCACCGTCATTCCCCCTCCCCTGGAAGAGCGAGGAATATCGAGGATTTCAAAGGCTCCTGGCGGCACCAAAGGATATCTTTCTTCAGGATAAGAGGTACCTTGTGTGTTGCACGGAGCTACTTGTCGATGTGGACGTCCCTAGTAAAGTGGCAGAGTTTTTCAAGTTACATGACAAATACGTTACCACACAGCACGTTGTCAAACAACTTGAAGAAGCTATTTCTACTGACCTAAATAAGATGGATACTAACACTTACGAAGAAGTGAGCCGCGTTTGCACAGAAGCCTATTCCTTTTTACAAGAAAATATTGCCAACGGTACCTCCTCTTTTGAGGATTTTCTGTCTTCAAAGCGATTCCTTCTAGTAGGAAGGCGCTTTCTCTCTGCAGATGTTGTCGCATTTGAGGTGAATACGGACTGTTCCCCGTACCTTACCCAACTTCCAGATTATTTATCCGATTCATTTGGCAAACTCCTAAAATTTTGTGGTGTTAAGAACCAGTTTGAACCCAGCGACTATATTTCATGTCTTCAAGAAATAAGGGGACAGTTCGGTGAGAACCCGCTTGACGAACGAACATTACAGGTAGTTGTGAACATGGTGATTCAACTCGGAGAGACATCTGAAGAGTCTAAGGATGACCTGGACAACGAACAAGAGGGATGTGCTTTGGTTTTTCTTCCTGATTCCAGACGCAGAATGTTTGCATTAGCTGATATGTGCTACAAGGATTGTCCGTGGATGCCTGATGATCCAGAGGAGCTGTTTGTCCATGAGAAGATTCCCTGGTCAACCTGTAAGAAACTGGGGGTTAAAACTCGCAGAGAAGGAGCTCTGCAACATCACGATGTTGGTTTTCCTTTTGGGCAAAAAGAAGAGCTCACTGATCGATTAAAACGGATTTTGACAGGTTATCCAGGTGAGAAAGAAATTTTAAAAGAGCTTCTTCAAAATGCAGACGACGGACAAGCAACTGAGATTTGCTTCATTATAGATCCTAGAAACCATCCTGAAGAGAGGGTGCTCAAAGAGAGCTGGAAAGCCCTGCAAGGTCCTGCACTTTGTGTGTACAATAATAGACCGTTTACCAATGCAGATATTGAGGGAATTTGTAACCTTGGCAAGGGTACCAAGGGGGGAGATCCAAACAAGACTGGTCAGTATGGCATTGGCTTTAATGCTGTGTATCACCTAACTGATGTTCCATCATTCAGGTCGAAGGGTAAAGAAATTGGAGATGTTCTTTGCGTGTTTGATCCTCATTGCAAGTACGTTGCTCGTCCTACCGATGAGAAACCCGGCAGAATGTACACGAAGATCGACGAGTTAAAAAGTAAGTTTCCAGATGTATTTCGTTGCTACCTAGAGGACCTTTTTCCGATACAAAATGCAACCATGTTTCGCTTCCCACTGAAGTCCCAGGAAATGGCCGAAGAATCCAAAATATCACGAACACCCGTCACCGTGCAGCAGCTTGACAGAATGATGGAAGGTCTGAAAATGGAGTTGTTTGAAGTTCTCCTCTTCGTAAACAATGTGAGGAAGATTAGCATTGCCGCCATAGACAGAAGTGGAAAACTGGTTGATACCTACTCAGTTGAAGTTGTTATGACCAAGAAAGACCAGAGGAAAAGACAATCTTTTGCTGATTACATGAAACAGATTGGAAAGCAAGCGAAACAAAAAGATTTTCTTCCCACAAGCATTAAGGTAAAAAAGGGTATTTATAGTATGAAGCTTCGTGACAGCCTTCAGAAGGAACAGACTTGGCTGATTGTACAGCAGGTTGGCTTTGAGAAACCAGTGAAAGAAAGTATTGCTCATGCTTTCAAAGAAGAACAGCTGGGTATGCTTCCTCGAGGTGGAGCGGCTTACCTTTTAAACAGCAGCGGGTCTGCGGTGAAACCCGATGGCAAAGCGTACTGCTTTCTTCCACTGCCGTTTCGGACCAATTTACCTATTCACATCAATGGCCACTTTGCATTGGACCATGAGGCCAGAAGAAATTTGTGGCAGGATGAAGCTGCTGGCTATCGAAGTGACTGGAATAACGCCTTGCTTCGTGATATTATTACCTCCTGCTACCTCACTCTCCTGGACAAGGTAAGAGGATACATTCAGCTGCCAGTAGACCAGTATGCTACTGGTCAGAATTCCATCTTCAGCAAAAGTGAAATCACAGAGAGGTTAACTTACTATGAGGCACTGTTTCCGCGGTATCCCTTGGAAGATTCACACTGGAAGTCATTAGCTGATTCCGTTTACCAGGGAATGAGCAAAAAAGAAATGCATCTTATTCCGGTGGTGAAATTTTCGAAGCGAAGTTCAAGAGCCGGTGCTAAGAGTATCAAAGGATCCAGCGGAGTCCAAGTCACATGGTTTGCGCCGCAGGACACAGGCAAGAACCAAACATATTTCAACAATCTCGAGATAAAGGGTTGCTTTGCTCCCGTTCCACCAAGATTCAATACAGATGAGAAAGAAAGAAAAAAGATGGAAGAACGTCGCATTAGACGAAAGAACCAGTTCGAAGAAACGTTGTTGAAAACTGGTTTTAACTTGGTGGCATTATCACTTGACGTATTTAATTCATTTATGGAGGCAGGAGTAGAGGTGTGCTGCGTCTCTCCTTTGGCTGTGATGGAGTTTTACAAATCGTTTAATGATAGTCATCCGCTTTGCAGTATTGGCGACGTTCCATGCCCCATTGAAAGGAGTTCATTCAAAGACGTGAAAGGAGTTATTCGCATTCTAAAGTACTGCAAAGACGATGATCAGTTTCTGAAGAATCTCGAGGGTCTTCCATTGCTTCTCACGCAGGACAACTACTTACGCGTCTTTAGTAAGAGCGATCCCTGGTGTTTGTGTCGTTATTGCGATATTTTACCACAATCTCCCGGCTTGTTTGTACACAAAGAGTTTCTAAGTGACGTTTTTGACATGGCTGATTTAAAAAAGAGCCCCGTTTTTCGACCTTTGGATTTAGAAACCTTCTCCTCTCAATTGCACGTAACTCTTCCTGAATGTTTTTGCAGCGAGGATCAGTACGTGAGATGGTTTCCTGAGGATAATTCAAAGTCCACGGCTCTGCCGAATCGTCGTTGGATTTACAGGGTTTGGCAGTTCCTCGAAAATTTCGTCAGCGAACAACTTAACGACTTAGGAGAGGAAGAAAAGAAGGATTTCAGTGAGGAAAAGAAAACTTTCTTTGTTCGTGACCTGCTCATGCCATTGACTATGTGTTGCATCCTTCCAGCAACCCAGGCAAGTTCTGGTGACCCAAAACTAGTTAAAGAACAATTTTTGGTGCCTTTGAAAATGGGAGAATCAGTTATTGACTTTAAAGATTGTGGTCAATCCAGCGAGAAGTTGGTGGAGGCCTTAAAATTTTTGGGGTTGCCAGAGCTTGACTCAGTTATACTGTCAACTGTCCGCATCGGTACAATTTGCTACACCAAACTAGAATCGTATAATTTAGCGCGCAATCTTGTAGCGACACTTAAGACACCCCATTCCCTTCTCACAGCGCTCCATCAGAAGCTGAAGGCTAATCCTTCCACCCTTGATGGAAAACTAGAGGACGAAGAAGCTATGGAGGTTCTTAATTACTTAAGTCGCAACACTAATTCTCTGTTATGCGACGACAAAGAAACTCTAAGGAGGCTTCCTTTCTTTCCAATGGCGGGTGGAAGGCTAGGAAAAGTTCAGGATAGGAACGTCTTTGTTCTCCCTGGTGACATCCCTAACGATGGGATCAATGTTGTTGAATCCAGACTTGACTGTTTTTTTGTAGAATCTCGCGAAAGTCTGGCAGCCTTGTATGAATTCCTAGAATTTGAGCCAGTATCACCATCACGTGTTTACCGAAATTTCATTCTGACATGCTTTCAGCAGTTTAGTTCGGAAGGAAAGCTGGCTCACCTTCGATATCTTCAGGGCTTTGTGTCTTCAGTAAGTGCAAAAGAGGACGAAAGTGAAGAGCTTGAAAAAAGACAAGTGGTAGACTATTTGAAACGAATTGAACTCATTCCAGCTGTGGACGGCTCCTTGAAGACAGCATCCAGTTTCTACGACCCTTGCAATGATGTATTTGATGCCTTATTACCAGAAGACAGTTTTCCACCAGAGCAATTTAACTGTGAAGAGTGGCTGCCATTTTTGGAGAAGATAGGCCTCTCTAAGGACGTTTCAGGAAAAGATTTTTTAAAGTTTGCTAACCAAGTGGCACATGAAGCTAAAACACAGCGAACAGAAAACACCTACAAAAAATCCGCAGTTTTGTTGCAACACCTTTTTTCTCGACCAAATGTGGTTGGTGAAGGTCTTCTACATCTTGTGTCTAAGATTCCTTTCGTGGCTGCAAGACCTGTTGAAGAATCACTACAAGCACTATGCGTACCATTCGGAATAAGACATGGAGAAGAAATTCCATTTATTGCATTCAAAGATTCCGTTGTCAACGAGCATGCAGAAATCATATGGACGAAAGCACATTTGCTTCCAACGTCGGCAGATCCAAGGTTTCCTGGTTTTGAGCTTTTAAGTGACTGTCGTCATCGAAATGTTGATCAGTACATTAAGGTAGTTGTTGAACAGCTTGGTATTCAGATTAAGCCATCTGTTGCTCTTGTTATTAGTCACTGCCAAACTGTCAGCACCAGGAAAAATATCACAACTGACCAGTGCTCAACGGTAACGAGGGTCATGGAAAGAGTTTATGAATTTCTACAGGCAAACGCCATCAACGATCCAGAGGCCAGGAGGGTACTCGAAACCATGCGTTTTATCGCTGTTGAAGAAGGAAAAAAGTTCATTCTGCCTAGACAAGCCGTCATCGAGCTTTACGAGCATTTCGAGATTAAGCCGTTTCTTTACAGAATTCCTGCAGTATTTGGAAAGTTCCAAACTTTGTTTGAGTTTGTAGGCTGTTCAAAGACTGTAACCTGTAGAGATTACGCTGTGGTATTGGAAATGATGCATGAGAAATGCAAAGGTTCTAAACTGAACCCAAATGAACTTACAAAGTGTTCGAAGGCCATCAGAGGATTCTTCAAAACTTTGCAAGATGACCAACGATCCGTGCCAACTCTCTCCAAATTATACCTACCAGCAATGCCTTCAGAATTTTGCCTTTCGAACGAGCACCTCAAGATAGGCACCATTCCTGTTACTTTACGTTTATCAACGGAGCTGTTGTTTGATGATGCCCCAACCTATGGTTATAGGATAAAAGATCTTGACCAGCCATTTGTACTAGAACTTAGTCTACTGAAAGTAAGTCGTAAATCAGCCATGATCAACTTTACAGATTTGATGCTGAAATTACCTCCAGAAGTACAACCAAGGATGCTATCTAGTGTGGTAAAGGAAAAACTTTGCGAGCCCGAAAAAACGAAAATTGTCGCAAACGGTGCTGTTAACACGATGAAAGTAAAAATATCTTCCATCCCCTTTGCTCGTGGAGTTGCAAGAATTATAAAACACGTTAACCATCAGAAAAACGATTTTGACGTAAGTGTCCTAAAAGGCATTGAGGAAAGTCTTCGAAGCATCGAGATGTTTGCTGTGGAAGGTCTCAGGACCTCCCTTTTTCTTTATGAAGTTCAGATTCCAGAAAGTGAAGCTGATGTGCCTTTCTTCGTAGACAAGCCGGAGCTGTCTGCATTGGGGAAAAGTAAAGTTTACATCGATACGCTGTCTGGGGTGAAAGATGCCGTTTCAATCATATCGGACATAATTGGGGAAATGTATGGAGAATTTCTTCAAAACAAGGCAAATCTCATTGGTGAGATGCTCCGTTGCCCGCCTTCGGGTATATGGCCACTGTTGGACAGAATGAAAGTTCGTAAAGATGACAGCTACACCACAGCAGATTTGGATATCTATCCAGAGCCCGGTACATGGATTCCAACTGAAGACCACCATCTGCTAAAAGACGCTTTTGAAGAATTGGAACCGGGAGAGTACGTTGGTTATCAGCTACACGACCCTATTCTAGTCCTGCGGAAAGGCATTCCAAAATACATTTACGCTATAGTAGTTCAGGAGGTTACCAGTGAAGATACTGTTGTCTTGAAAAAGGCATACCAAATCAACATTGAACACGAAAAAGAACCAGTTGAGGTCAGTGCTACTAAGCTGTATAAATTCCACCGTTTGCGAGAGATATTTGAGGACCAGGACGACGATATGGCAGAAATGCTTAAAGAGATCTCAGACTTCCTCCAGATCGCATGGGAAATGCCTGAGGACGAGAAAACCCAAATTGTCAAGCGTCTATTCATGCGTTGGTTACCAAGAGGGAATACTAACAGCAAGGACTCGCTCATGGTGGCTTTACAGCACTTAAAGAATGAAGTTTCTCGGCTCGGTGGCTGTTACGATGACTTGTTTGTTTTATTGGAAGAGCGAGCAAAACAACTTGATTCACAGCGGTACATTTATCAAGAAGACTATCTTGTTCACCATGGACCGTGGCCACCTCCACCTGATGATGTTTCCTATGACAATATTCTCCCAATTATCCGTAGGATAAACAGAAAAAACCCTCAGCCAGAAGAGGCCAAGCGCTGGTTGAGACAAGCTGACGCTGACCTTGAGTCTTGCAGTAGAGAGAGAGCATTCACGACTGACTCATTTGAGTGGCTTTGCTTTAAATGCCACCAGGTAAATAGCATAAAATACATTTATTTAGAGCGGAAAAAAAATGGAAACCTATCGACGCCCAAAAAATTGGGAAACGACGTCAGCGCACGTCCGCCTGTCCTCCAGTACTCTCTTTGGGGGGTAGGGGTAAAACAAACTTCAGCAGACTAAGGAAGGGAGTCCAAGACACTGACGTTGCGTTTCGTTTTGGTGCAAAATTAACCATTTAATGGGCTACCAAGGGAGTTGCTCAAGTAAAAATCTAGATTGAAGTGTTCGATTTACGACAAAATTTTCAGTAAAAAATTTCTAAGGCTGTACTTTTTGCTTGGCAACTCTTTTGGTCACACTACAGGAAAAAGCTAGTCTTCCCCCACTTTCACTTCCCTCAAACCTGGTCAAAATTATTCTGTTCTTGTTTTGCCGCCTAAAAATGAAATACAACTGCTGTGAAGTTTCTTTTCTGTTTTTCGAAGCAGAATTTTTTAATATTTGTTTTTTTTGTGGAAGAAAATGTCGTACAGGTATTCATGGATGGCTGCGTTTGTGACACTTTTTGGAGACTCTTAAGACGAACTTCAGGAAAAATCTATATGATATATTTCTGTTCCTGAATTTCACTTTGTTAGAATTGGTAGAAGACTTGTCTAGGGATGAAGGGATCTAGCTAATATTTGTTTTGGGCTTTTTTTTCTATTGCTTGCAATTAAAATTGAAATTTCGTTTAGTCCAAACTTAAATTATAGAATTATACAGAATGGCCGTTTTAGGTCTGTACTTACGTCACAGAGCTGACCATGGTGAACTGTTTTATTCTTTCCAGGCAGCCGAAAAGGCCCTGAAGGCTGTGCAGTACAACGTGGATGCTAATCAGAAGACAAATGACCACAATTTGGTACTGAATTGTCATGGTTTTGATGAATCAGATGCTGAATTAAAAGATTTAGCAGCCCAGCTTGAACGTCTTGTGATTAATTCAGTCCACATGCGTTATCCTGACACCATGTCATACCCCAACATACCCCATGACGTATACACAGCAGTGCATGCAGAGGAAGCCTTTAGAATAGCGACAAAGATTCTGGAAATAGTTCGAGTGAAACTGAATTAAGGTGGGGCTTAACGATACTGCCACTGATTTCATTTTAAAGGTTTAAAAGGTTAAAAGTCTTCTTTATAGTGGAAAGTGCCGCTAGTTTACAAAAACTAGTCAAATACTTAGAAACAAATACCGTAAAATTCCAAAAATAAGCCCCTCCATGTATAAGCCCCTCCAAATATAAGCCTCCCAAACCGGTAACGCAAAAAACCCTCCGTTAAATCGCCCCTCCAAATATAAGCCCCCCGGGGGCTTGTACTTGGAAAATTGCCCTCAAATACAAAGTAAAACAAAGCAAAAACGGTAAATTTACTTCCAACTATGAGGCTAACCCAATCGGTTTTGAAACGCAAATTTCCCTCCGTAGATAAGCCCCTCCGAATATAAGCCCCTCCAAAAATAAGCCCCTCAAAAAGGGCCTTTGAAAAATATAAGCCCCTGGGCTTATTTTCGGAATTTTACGGTATTTCAAACACAACATAACAGGATTGAAAACCTCAACTGGCAGGAGGCAACCAGTTGGCTATTAAAAGCATGGTCGAGGATTGAAAACTGGACGACAGAGAACAAATCCAGCAATTGGCCGGAGCGGGACTCGAACCCGGGACCGCCGGATTGCTAGTCCGACGCGCTGACCACTCAGCCACAAGTTAGAAGAAAGTTAGAAAAGTTAGGACATTCGGTTGCGATCGAGTACAAACTAGCTCGTCCCAGATCTTGATAGAAAAACGGGATTCGTTCAGTCGTTTAATGCCTTTAGTCAAGAACTTCACTTTCAGTTTGAGACTAAATAACGGAGAACCACTAAAATTTGGATGGCAATATCAAGTATACCATTCCGATACCTTTACACCTCGATAAATGTTGTCCAAATTCGTTGCGCTTCCGTCTGAAAATTTAGTGTCGTGCAACATTTCAGTTTCATGCTTTAAAATTCATCTGGCACAAACTCTTGGTTTAAAAATGTGCTGGTTGTAGCTATTGAAACGCCATCGTGAGGTTACACGTAAAGACAATCTTGGAGCCACTTTTGATACTGGGAATCTGAAACAAGTGTAATTTTATTTGGAGTGGCATTCCCGTTGGCGAGATGATAATTAAGAATTTTACGAGTTTTGCAGGAAGGAACAGGCAAGCGAAAACCGTAAGAGCTGAGAACCAAACTTAGTTGACACCAAAAAAGAAAGAGGGGCGAGACGATAAACGAAATAAAACTATTCCCTGCAAAAAGAAAAAAGAGAGAGAGGGAATACCAAAAAGTACTCTACAGTGTATGTCCCACTAATCTTATAAAGTGATGAAGAAATTAGGTGAGTTGGCTAAATTTTAATTTTCCCTTTTTTTTCTGTCATGTTCTGCAGGCTAATGATCAAGCTACTTTTGAGAAGCTATTCCAGTTTGCATCTTCTAGGAGGCTCAAATTAAGAAGAGGTTCAGTATAGGATTGTGTATCAGAAGATTGTGGTGCCACTCGCGATCGAAGATTATTCGACATAACCTTTGGCAAGCCTTATTAATTACTTACTCAAAAACTTTTCTACGATATTTTTAAAGTATCTAGTCAAACGCATTGTTTTTTGTTTCATTGACTTTGAAGCATTTTGCTGCGTGTTTGGTTTTGTAGCTTTGTAACTTTCGATCTTGTGTAACATGTAGAAACAATGCTGAGGTTTTTTTGTCAGAATTCAGTTGTAAAAGCTTAATCTCAACGCTATTTTTTAATTTTAGCTTTATATTTGTATTTCTTTGCATGAAAAAAAAAAACCAGCTTTAAATGAGTTCAACTGGCAATCACGCAAGAAACATAAAAGCCAGCTTTTACAAAAGACTTTGACTCTTGCGAAATGACAAGTTGTTCAGTACTAGAAGCACTTTTCCCGTCGACATTTTTACCTTTAACGTTATTCTTTTTTAAAAGTACCAATGAAACACACCCCGCTTCTTTACAAATTAGCAGGTCTTAAGGCTTTCTTATTTAGGGACTACAAAATGTTAACTATTTAGACAAAGTAATACGTTAGTAGCGCTGGTGTCGAATTAGTTGTTGGCACATGAGACGTACTTGACCTGGTTAATGCAAAAATTGCGGGAAGCAAAAAGTAAACACCATCAGAGATGAGAAGAGCATCAGAAAAGTAGCTTGAAACCAGTTTTGAGGCCCTGAACCTAAGATGGGTGTCGACTGCCGGCAAGATTATCAGGGTTTGTATGTCGGAAAAAATTCTGATTTTTTTTTCAAATTGTTCGTATTACATTTTCTCCGTTCTTAATATAACCATAAAATCGCAGTTACAACCTTAAATTTGGTAGAGCCCCCTTTTCATTGCTGTTTTAATCTCTAGTTCTTTAGGGATAAATTCCATATTTTACCCTGAAATCAATCACGTGACCCGTTTTGCAGTTGAAATCTGGAATTATTTGTTTTCTAGTGAGAACTAAATTAAGCGTGACTTTGTTATCGTAGAACATGTAGTTAATGAATCGCGCCAGTGACGTCGATGTTTCAGAACCAAACCGTTTAACAAAGATAAAGGAAAGTTATTAATTTCGGGGCGCTATTAAGGGGGTATCTTTTCCTCAGATGGACGTCACTTTTGTGATACATAATAGACTTGCATCAACATTTAACATTTCCGTAGGGATTTTTGCAGTAATTGTATTTTATAAATTAGATTAGTATTACATTAAGTACATGTGCGGAGTAGGAGTAAACTCACCTAATTTGTCTCTTGAAGTGAAAGTTAGTGCAAATAAAAGTAAACGTTACAGTTTGTTCCAGTAAAATCCTACTCTCTGTGCTTATAGCTAACCAGCCTGAGCATCTTTTAAAATGCGCATTACGGCGTAAACATTAAAAAAGATCAGAAACCCAAAAATTGAGTGCCAGTATTAGCTGTCTTTTTACTCTGGGTTCCAAAGGATATTTTTTTCTCTTCGATCCGACTGATGGTTCGCGACGAAGCCGCGTCAACGAGGCGCGAGCCCTATTAAACCGTGAGCACGGTTCATTTCATCTTAGGTATTTTGAGAACGGACCTCTGGAGCCAGGGTACTGTCTTTTAATTTCACACCCAAAATGGAAACCCGAGGGTTGTTTGGCAGCAATGGACAGCTGCCAGTTTCAATACGCACCTACAGATTGTAATAGTTGGAGTCAGAATTTCATAGATAGCCTCTCATTTCCTTGCCATCGAAAGTGAATACATTTACTGTCTCCACAACTGCCCAATTTTATTTACTGTCACTGATCACAGAACACTCGAACCGCCATTTGTAACGACATTAAGTACCAAAAGTGGGAAAATAAACTGTGCTATCTTTGTTTTATTCTAAATGATAGGGTGAGTTAATAACAATCAGTTGGGCCAGATAACGTATGTCTAATATTAACAGCACCTTTAGCGCCGTCCAAACGGACCGAACATCGTTGGCCCACGACTGCCAACATTGTTGGATGTTGCATGTTGCGTCTTTCCAACATTTTTTGCAAGCCAGGCACGCGCATTGCACATGGTTTCCAAAGTCTTAAGGGTTGTATCCTTCCCACGATACACTGCAGGTCCCATCGTTATTAGGAGTTGTTACATCCGTTTGCACATCAATGCCAATACGGATGTAACAACTCACTCCCAACATTGTTGGCCCAACAATGTTGGGCGTTGTTGCGTCCGTTTGAACGTAGCTTTAGGTTCTAGTGGCACCAACGAGATCCACTGATAGATTGATTAATTTAACTACAACTTTTAGCTCAATTGTTGCACGATATCACTGATTCCCTTTCAGTGCTTCTCTAGCTAACCATTACAGGTCATAACCTTACTCAATTACCCGATCTATAATTATCTTGTTAAACCTGCACGATTAAGTCCGCCGGGCGTTTTTCCTCCTGAAAACCATGAGCTGTCTACTCGTGTGAACAGTTCTATCATCTGCTAATTAAGAAAGATTCACGCGAGTCTCGGCTCCTTTTTATTAGGCCATGTCCACAGCAGTGTGTTTATGAGACCATCCAAGACACGCCGGCATTAGGAGAGAGAGCAACGCCGCCCCTTTAATCTTTATCCTTAATAGACCTTGTCATGGTTTTCGACGCCATCTTGACGAGTAGGCAAACGCGTGAGAAATTACAGTCATTGTATGAGAATCTAATGTCGAATAATTTCCTTAGAACGGATGTTCTGAAAAAAATATGATTTGTAAACTAAAGCTTCACTCCTAAGGATTCTCCTGAAAAAGTTTGAGGGCGTTACATGCAATAGAAGACCTAGAACCACTTTTTTAAAATTTTCTATCCATGTGTCTGTAAGAAAGTCCAAGGAAAATTACAGACAAATAAATGGAAAATCTAAAGCAAGCCTCTAGAGAAATTCCAGCACAGGTACGCCCCCCAAAGTTTTTTAGGACAATCCTTCGCTTTGTAGCTTTAGTTTACAACTGATATTTTTTTCAAAACAGCCGTTTTACGGAAATTATTCAACATTAGATTCTCATACAAACACTGTAATTTCTCACACGTTTGCCTACTCGTCAAGATGGCGTCGAAAACCATGACAAGGTCTATTTCTTATGCCCTAGCAATGCTAGCCTGCGTTGCAGACGTAATTAAACCTCCGTTAACCAGAGTTTTTTTTGTGACGTAGGCTACAGCAATGCAGACTAAGGCGATGAATCAAACGTTGATATCGATACCTTCTTTTTGATCGTGTGTACTGACCCATAAAAACATCACTGATAACAAATTCCGAGACTAATTTTAAGGCGTGCTAAATACAAAACTCTCGTCTATTCCCGCAGTAGTAACAACGGACATTAGCGTATTGAAATTTACACGACGGTTTTCCGTTCTCATGCACTGAATTGTTAATTTACAGTGTAAACTATAATCTCTTCATACTTTGTGTCCACTCTCTGAGGATATCGTAACAATCGCCGAATTTGTTATCATCTCCTTTGGCTTATACACCAAAGTCGCACAATCTGAGGAGAGAAGCAATTACCAAATTACCTTTAACTTTTTAGACTCTGCAGAATTTCATTTTAAAAAAGTGATGTACAGCACTTAGCTTTTGAATTAGTGATATTTACTTCATTCAAAAGTATAGCAAAAGCCCGGGGGGCGGGGGGGAGTCCACATATGAAAGGGGTGGGTATGCTCGTCGGACATTTTGAATTAAACCCCTAAAGGAGGCCGATCTGGGCGTGGTCCAAGCTTTTTTTGACCCCTAAAAGAGACCATGTTAAAACACAGACAATATATATATTTTTATATTTTTTGGCGTGCAATCTTAAACGAGACCTCCAGGGCTAAATATGATGGCGTTTTGCCCAGAACATCCTAAGTGAGACCAAAATCCGAAATTTACACCCCTAAGTGAGACGACGAACATCCCCACGACTTTCATATGCGGAGTCTGTCCCCCCGAAAGGCAGTTCTCAAAGAATTTCCTACAAGTTTACAGAGACTGAAGACTGAACAGAAGATCATAAGGGCGTCAAGCTTTAACTATTATGATGATCTATCACTTTTGTTATATCCTGAAAAAATAGCTGACATTTCGCGACGCCACAACTGCGTGGTTTGCCCGCGAAATGCCATCTGAGAAACGAGCGTAGAAATTCCATACTGATGACGCACAGTACCCAGATCTTGGTAGTGCTTCCGATTGATTGAAAATTTTCTTCAACTAAGCAAAAGTACAAACCAGATCTAGATAGTGGTGCGTCATCAGTATGGAATTTCTGCACTCATTTCCGGCTGAGATGTTATGTTGCAGGGAAACCAATAGTGACGATTCGAAATGACGGCTGTTTTCTCAGGCTACTTTTGTTCAAGAGTGTTAAAATAATCTCTTATTTTCCAAATATACGGAAAAGAACAAAAGTGGCCCGGTTGGGCGGGGCATTGCTCTACCAAGGGGCCACTGGTTGGCCCTTCGTTGCGCCTGGTCAAAAAATCAGGCCAAATAAATACAGAAGTCGTGGAAGCCAACCTAGTGTGATATAATAGTCTAAAATGGTGTTGATAAACTGAAAACAAACCTTTAAACATCTTAGTGACCTTGTCTGGTATGAGCTGCAACAAAGCCTTGTAACCGTCTCTGAAATCCGACAGAAACGTACAGAACAGCAGTGGGTTTATAGTCGGTGGTAAAAACGCCGCTGCGATGACATACTGGGAGAATTCCGTACTGATATTGTATCCAGACATGATGCAACTAATAGCCACCTGAAACAAAAAGAACCAAAGCATGGTCACAATAACTTTAACCTAGAGTTTTTGAGTAATAAAGCTTTTGTGCAAAGCCGGGGCCCACTACTCAACGGAAAGACTGAAGGCACCTTTGACTGACTTTAGTCTGGACATCAATTCGTACCAATTCACGGCACACCCCCTCTCCCGGAGAGGGGGGGCGCAATGTATAAATATTGTGCTGTTGTCAAGGAAAGGATTTCAAACAGGTTAGGAAACCGGGAAAAAAAATCGAAATTCACTTCTGACTGAACCTAATGCTATTGAGCAAAATCTGCCTTTCTCACTCATTAGCATGTGAAGTTTTACATTTGATGCGCGGGCCCTAGTCTTACATTTTGGTCAAGATCGGCTGTCTTTTATAGGAATTTCATTCGTAGTGTGAAGAAATGGAGTTTATGGTTCATAGTTAGTCTAGGATGTAGAAGGGTCTGTAAGGGTCACTTATGTCCAGTTCATTTTGCTAATAATGCCAATTACACCTACTTGTGAATGTCAAGATAACAGTTTCGTGTAAACAAATGTGTCTCCCAGGCAATATTTCAACAAAAATGAACTATGAAACACTGTTGCGCTAACAGGTTTTCAAAAACCATAATTGCAATCCTCCTCCATCTTCTTCACATTTGTCCATCCATGCCTCTTTTATAGGCTGTGTTTGTTTATACCTTTTATCGTTCTGAGCAGTTATTTTCATGTTTCACTCAGTTTAGTTGCATGCAGTTCCCAAGTATTGAATCAATTTGATAAATTTCGTGACGCAGATCCTTTATATTGCCTAAAAAAGTTGTTGCAGAACGTAGAGCGCAGTTCTACTTTTTGCTAAAAATCTGCACATGTTGCGCGTTTTACCGGACCCGCCAAAAAATTCCTCAATTAACACCCCGCACACTCCCCCCACCCCGGGTACGTTCGCTTGGTGAAAACTAACAATGACTCAATGATCCGCAGTGACTATTTAAAACTTAACGCTGGAGATTTAATTAATAGGATTAAAGAGCTTTTTTAGCAGCTGAATGCTACCTTTCCAATTCCTCAAGATATAAATAACACTTTTTTCAGAATTATTTTTATGACGATTAAATGCTTTTTGCTCTTTATATTCGTTTTGAATAATCTCAAATGGAAAATAAATTTAGAAAGAGTAGAACCAAAAGAGTCTAAGGACCCAAGCACAGGCTGGGATACAATATCCAATCCTAGAAGGTGGCAAAGCTTGTCCCTCATTTACAATATTTCTGGCCTTTAAAAAACGTTAAAAACCCTTTAATTTCTTGAGTAGGAGAGAGAATTTGTCATTCTAACTTTGAAAAATCTATGGAAAAACGTGTATTACGTGTCCATTCAAATGAAACCTCTTCAGCAGTACTTTAACATGGTCAGTATTTATTTAGTATGAGGGTCCAACTTTTGAGTCTGTGGATGAAATCCTATGGTGTGACCATTCAAATGAAACCTCTTCAGCAGTACTTTCACATGGTCAGTATTTATTTAGTATGTAGCTCTAACTTTTGAGTCTGTGGATAAAATCCTATGGTGTGACCATTCAAATGAAACCTCTTCAGTAGTACTTTCACATGGTACTATCTTTAATTAATATTTATTTCTAACTTTCTCAAGAGTCTGTAGACGAAATACTATGGTGTTCAGGATCATTCAAATGAAGCCTCTTTAGTAGACATTTGCATGATGACGTTCATTCCTTAGGATAAGTTCACAAAAAGAAATTTGGAATTCTGAGGAAATTTTTTCCTCTGGCCGCTTTTAAGTGAAAGCGTTCAGAAATGCAAAATCTACGCTCCTTCTGATTACCTATAATGCCTAAGGAGAAGCAGATTATATAATTATATAAGTGGTGTCTGCTCTTTGTTAACGCCCACTTTGTGGTCTTTGGCAGAAACGTACTGACTCGAAGGCGCTTTTCTTGATGTATATTTTGCAAGAAGTAGATTTTTCTTAAAAACATTACTGACTTAATATCGTTTTAATGTCTCAGCTTCTTTCTCTTGACTTCGATGCTGATAAAACGTTTTATGTTCAACTGATCAACCCTAATAAATTAAATTAAAGGTACCTTTAAATGGTTCCTGGAATAACATAAGCTACTGAAAGCTGAACGAATCACTTAAGCGCTGCAAAGTCCTTGCTGTTTTCGGAGCCGGATGATTAGTACATAAAACATCATATGCCTATATTGTTAATAGCTCCTGTTATATTGATAAGAAATGTACTTGAACTGAACAGTAGAATAGATCAGAAATAGAGCTTTAGTCAAATCTTGTGTGGAGTCGAATGACGAGTTCAAATACCACTGACAGCAACCATACAAAATAATGAAAGATAGCCTAACTTACTATGCGTTACATTTGGTTATTATAAGCTTGTAAATGTCTTTAGTATATAACCTCTATGTCAGCTGGTTAAGTTTAGGTCAATGATCTTTTAGTCACGCCTGTATAGGTGGGTTAAACGATTTCGTGGAAGATGAAATAATTTCTGGCCTTTCTAAGCTTTTGATTATTGCCCTAAGTGAATTAAAATCTTCTTTCTTAAATTTCATTGTTTACAGAATTTAGACCAAAATACGCCTCAAATGGACAAGCAAGATTGATTCACTTACCATAACCGGAATCCACGTTAAATGAAAGGTCAGACCCAACACGCATATAAGTTTGGCAAAGTCTCTTTCCGCTCCGAGCCTTCGGTTGTAATAGGTAAAAGTTCTCGATGCGCCCGTTTTTGCCAGTGAATAACTCGGACAACTAAAGCAGCTCAGGACACTGTGAACATCCTGAAGCAAGAAGCAAGCGGCACTGCTCATGAGAACCGCAAACAGGAACGTGTATTCTTTGTTCTTTTGCGGGTAGCTTATTTGATCCAACGAACACTGAAACAAAGTTGTCGTAGAGTTTTTTTGATATAATAGGGTAGATTGTGGTGAAAGGCTCTCTGGACCAAGGCCAATGTATGGTAAAGAAGCGATAAAAAAGGCTACGATAGCTATTCCAATCACTAAATTGGCTATGACCATTGTCGAGTGCGTCTTTTCTTGATGTCTCAGCTCGTATTTAGAGCACGCTAAAGACGAAGAAATCCTGTCTCTGATGCTGCGATAAATTCCTCTCGCGGTTATAGCGAGGTATGAAGTGTAGTTCAAAGTTGTTATGATAAACAGTGCAGCAAGTTTGAGCCACACGAACATCAGATGAAAAATCTCGCAAATCGTTGGCCTTGCGACGAAGCTTGTCCTCTGATTTCTTGGACAGTTGTAGTGTTTTGATAGATAAACTGGTAAAGGTACACAGACGGTCAAAACGTCAACCAAAACAAGAGATATTAACAGCACGTCTCTACTACTTCGATGGTTCTGAGCACGAAGCTTGGAGTAGCAAACGATCCACGGGAAAATGTTCAGAAATAACCCAGCCATTCCTACTACGACCAAATATAAATTCATTGAATTTAAAAAAGAACATTCTGTCCACATGATTGATAAAATTCTAAGGTGAGCTGGGTCACCCAATTTCATATTTGTCTTCTTTGCTTCTGGTCATCTTTCTTTAAATGTCGGCTCATCAAGGAAGTCTTGACTTTCGTATTCGGCTTAAGCTGCTGTGGCGCGCCACATAATTGTCGTTTGTTTGGTAAGAAAACATACAATTATTGGAATCGGTCATGGAAATTGGCTCTGAAAATATTAAATGTTATTCCAATCAGTTTGTTGCCATTTGATATTTTCAGTACGCTATCACTTTTCAGCCGTGCGAATCACTTTAATCCTTTCTGACTTCCGGATTATAATTTTGCTTCACTTTTTTATTTTATTTTTTTATTTTATTTTATTTGCCACACTAATTACAAAAAATATAGGAAAAGAAGGAAAAAAAAAAAAAGAAGTGGCGAGGAGACCTAACAGAAACTATAGGAGCTTATGAGAGGTTAGGCCTCCTCGAACTATGAGCTAGAGCTGTTTCACATCAATTGAAGAGAAGAAAGCGAAAAGTCGAAGATGGAAAGATTTATAAACTGTTTTCATACTTACTCAATAATTTAATCTTCAGTTTTTTCTTAAAAGAGGAGAGGGATTGAGAGTTGATGACCTCGTTGTCAAGTGAATTAAAAAACTTAGGCCCTTGAAAAAAGGGCGAGAACTTCTTAGTGTTTGTACGACAATACGGTAGACGGCAGGCCTGGAAATTTCTTGTATTGTAAGAGTGGAATTGATTGCTTTGAGAGAAATTGTTATTAAACCTTGGATTCTTGCAAGAATACAGAAATTGGTCCAGCAGTTGAAGCAAATGGATATCATTAAAATTTAGTATACCGAGGTCCTTAAAGATGGGGTCTGTATGAGCATTGAAATGTGATTTATTAATAATTCTAATAATGCGCTTTTGCAGGATAACAAGGCGGCGGAGATTGGTTTTATAGGTCGAAGCCCAAACGATATTGCAGTAGTAAAAATAAGGATAAATTAAGGAATAGTAGAGCATACGTAGAGACGTTTTAGGAAGAAAGAAGCTGCATCTAGACATTATACCGATTGACTTCGCAACTTTACTTGCAACGTGTGATATTTCTGACTTCCAATTTAGGTTTCCATCCAAAATTACGCCTAGAAAATTTGTCTCCTTTACTTTAACAATATTTTGATTATCTATACTTATTTGAATATTACAAATTGAACGCTCTGTCTTGGTTTAAAGGCCATAAATTTAGTCTTTTTAAGATTTAGAAATCTTGTTTGCTTTAAACCAGATTGACAGTTTGTCCATCTCCAAGTTTAACATATCTGAAAGATAGTTCAGATCTTTATGTGACATGAATACATTGATATCGTCAGCGAACAATATCAGATTTAATAGATTAGAAGCATTGTTGATGTCGTTAATGTACAGCAAGAAAAATAGAGGTCGGAGGATAGAACCCTGAGGGACCCCACAAGAGATTTCATTTCTTAACGAACGGTGGCCATTATATTCAACATATTGCTTTCTGTTTGAAAAGTAACTTCTTATCCAGTCCAGCGCTAAGCCACGAATACCGTAATGTTCGAGTTTATCAAAAAGGATGAAATGATTTACAGTGTCAAAGGCTTTTGAGAGGTCAAGAAAAATCCCTACGGAAAATTCACCTCGGTCAAAGGCAGTGGAGATCTTATCATGCAAGTCGATTAGCGCGAGTGCAGTGGAATGATTTTTCCTGAAGCCGTATTGGTTACTACAGAGGATGTTGAAGTTCATCAGATATTGCATTAAACGATTGTAGATAACTCTTTCAAAGAATTTAGAAAAGCTGGGAAGCACCGAGATAGGTCGGTAGTTGGTGAAAAGCGACTGATCATCAGATTTAAAAATAGGTATCACGCGAGCGATTTTCATTTCATCGGGAACAATACCATGCTGGATTGACAAGTTTATGATATGGGTGAGTGGTTCAGAAACAAGTAGAATGGACTCCTTAATGACTGACATTGGAATCTGGTCGTAGCCAGCTGCTTTGCCTGGAAGAAAAGTTTTCGCAATCTCAGTGATTTCATCTTGAGTTGTAGGGTTGAAGAATATTGACTGTGTAAAGGAACCATTAAGAAAACAACGGTGTGAAGCTGACGACTGTATACCCCTTGCTAAATTAGGACCGATGCTTGAAAAATAACTACAAAACTTGTTGGCAATTTCGACAGGATCAGTAACTTCACGATCATCAGCTTTAAATGTTGAGCATCTATTGGAATTTCTTTTGCTTCTGTTTAGAATTTCATTTAAAACTTTCCAAGTAGCACGAGTATTAGATTGAACGTTATTCAATTTCTTCTCATAGTATAGACGTTTTGCTGTCCGCAGAGAATGATTTAATTTGTTTTTATAACTTTTGTATAACTTTCATACAATCAGGCATTCAGATCTTTTCGACCTGACATCTTTCTTTTTTTCCAGCCCCTTTCCTCAGTGTACGACTTTTGCGCTGCCTGCGTTGCACCCCACTCCCTCTCCCTCGACAAGAAACGTCTGATCGCAGGATGCAATTACACGTACGTGCAAGAGCCAAGATCAAGCGACCTCGAACGTTCTCCTTTTCTCTTTCTCAGTTTATCTTTCAACTTTCGCTTTAGAAGAACTCCTCGATTCCGAATTTTGGCTATGTTGTTAAGTCTTTGTTATAAAGTTTTGGGCACGTCTGGAACGAGGAATAAGAACCGAGAAACAAGCCAGCAGAACGGAAAATCAAAAGATTAGTCCAGTCAAATTGTGGTTCAGCATCAACCTAATTGCAACAGAATTTTTTTCAACGCCGTTTAATTGTTGGATGGCTCTGTAACAACATACTAAAAATCCGCCAAAATCGGTTCGGTGAAACATGAGAAAGATTGGCAATAAAGATTCTCAACTTTCACCACAGGTAACCCAATTTCAGGAAGATCACAAATTCAGATAAAACATTTGATAATTGTTTTTTTTCCTCAAGAATTTTCGATACAACATTGCTAATGTATTTTGGGTAGTTTTGGTTTAAAAACGCCGACTAAATGTGTGAGAAACAGCTCGGTCAGTGTTTCGTCTTGACGGCTTTGCACAGGTTACCCAGCCACTCGTTTCTGTTCACATTCTGTTTTCCAGGCTGTAATTTTTTTTCTATGACGGTATTTAAAAGGAAAATTATTAGTCAGTCTGTATTGAAATGATTAAAAATGTCAGTATATTTTTTTGTTCAATATCAGAAATGCATAAAGTATTTTTAGTTTTATAGGTTTGTAATTTTTTTTATATCCTGCAGCATGGAATCAAATTTTTAATTAGTAGCTGACTCATGTTGAACAGTTTGATTTGATATTTTGCTCACCTTCAGTAAGCTACTAAATTTGCATCCATGTTGCAGGATACGTGCAACTAAATGTGTGTAACGGACGATAGCTTTGTATTAGTACAAACTGTTTAACCTATTCCCAATTTCTGTAATCGAGTTTTGTGAGGTAGTTATGTTCAAACCTTGGACACAATATGTGTGATCGAAATCAGGGATTCTTTTTTTTGACTCCGTACTTTACAATGTGAGTGAATAAATATTCTGCTAAGGACTCTGTCTATTTGGTTTTTGCTAGATCATAATGCTCTGTGCTTTTCATTACACCTGGCCGAATCTGTTCTAAAGGAAATCCACAAAACCAAGGCAGTGTGATTGTTCTTTTTTATGTTCTTCTTGTAGCGAAGCTCAGATTTAGTTTAGCTCAGATTTAGTTAAGTTCTGTGTGTTTAATTTTTATTTTCTGCGGCAGCTCTTCATTTCTTGTTAAGATCGACGAATACGATTAATTGCTGTGTGGTTTAAAGGCATTTATATTCCCTCCTTGCATTTCTTTTCGGAGAACAACCCTGAAACTTGACCAGTTTTTTTTTTCGTCCATTGGCAAATGAAGACCTCTTTTTCTATAACAATCTTGGGATCCTTAACATCTGAAAACAACTGCAGTGGTCATGAAGGAGCGAAAGTACTGGACATGTGTACGACATTAATGGGCTTGCCTGACTTAGCTTCTGATGTGTCACCTCTTTTTGCGGAACCCATGTTTCTCTTGGGATGAGCTTTGTGTAACACTTCAACTTAGTGCAAGTTAACCTTCTGACTGAGCTGCGTGAATTGTGCTCTGCGTGGGGAATTTCCATTACTCCAGAGACTCTTACAATATATTTTTATACGCATTGTTTTGGCTACCCAGAGTTAATCTTTCCCTTAAAAACCAGCTTCGCTATTATACTATTTCGTTTTCTTAAAACAAACGTTTGCTAGAACCAAACTTCTTATGCGACGAATGTTCCGATAACCTTTGCGAAGGTAACAACACTTTTCCTTTAATGAAAAGGCATTTCCCTCTCATCAAATTCATAGGCATTGGAGCTTAACCTTCTCAAAAACTCTGCATTGTTGTGCGTCGTAAAGAATTAGTAAAACTATCGTCCCCTCCTCTCCAATTCACTTTTCGCAAGAAGAAAATGAAAAGCTTTGAAAAAGTGAAACTTGTATATTTGAGAATGCTGTTACCTTAACAAAAATTAATGTATAGGTAACCGTAAAAGCCAAAGCATTATCTTGCTGGATTTTTGAAAACGTACCGAACGAAAATTGCAGCCTTTTCACTGAGGAAAAGAGCAAAAGCCGAATGGAAAATGAGCCCAAAAATCCTCCTAGAAAAGAACAAGTAAAGGAAAAATAGAAAGAGCGAGTAGAAAGAAACGAGGAGAAGAAAGAAGAACAATGGCTGCACTCTTAGTTTTTATGTTGACTTCTTTGGAGATAGTTGTTGAAAGAAGAAAACTGTTTGAGGGGAGAGCTCTATTTTGGCTGTAACGTTATTCAAAAATCCAGCTCTGATATATATTTTTCTTACCCTTGCGGCTAACAGAAATCTGACAAAAAGGGATATCTAATGATTAAGTAACGGCTTTCATTTTTCAGATTTAAAGCCTTACGACTAAATTTGTTGTAGTTTTACAGCCAACAGTTCACTCTATTACTATGAAAGCCTCCTGTTGTTTTGGGGTTCCTTGAGTGGAACATGGGCTTCCTGTGCAAAAAAAGAAACACTCCGTTTTTATCAGCGAAAACTAGGTAGAAGTTATTCTTTCTTCTTTCACTTTTCCATAAAAGTAACAAACACATTTTGTGCATTTTTTGTTCAACCGAATAATTTCAACTAACGTGGGTACCCTGTGTTAAAAGGTCAAAATGTTTAACGCTTAATTTTGACATGTTCCACCGAACGGGTTTTGGCGGATTTTTAGTATGTTACTAGATAGGTCACCCTTAGTTAAATGATGTTGAAAACAATTCTGTTGCAATTAGTTTGATGTTGAGCCTCGAAAATGTCTAGATTGACTGGACTAGATAGTAACAAACCAGAGATATGGACAAGAAGATCCTTAAAGAGAGCTATAGAGCTAGGGTTCAAGAAAAGTTTTGCTCACATTTTTCAATTTCCTGTTCCCCATGCTCGTTTCCCGCTCCTGCTCTCCGTTCCTCGTTTTAGTAGGAACTTGTCGATCGGAAGACGCGACGGCAGCGAAAACGTCGCTTCAAAAATGAACTTGCGTTCTTTCGGTCCTCATCGGGATTATTCTAACTCACTTACTTCGTCAAAAGTAGGCAAACCCTCCCGGAGTTGAATTTCTAAGAACTGTATTCAAGTTTAGAGAGAGAATAAAATTTCGTCGTCGCTCGTTTACGTCCTCCCTGAAAAGTATAATCAGGCAATTTCACGTGGTAGTCGTGCAAAAACGGCAAAGAAATGTACAAAAACGTAAGATGCACGTGCGTAGCTGTTGTTTTGTCTACTAGACCTATTGTAATTTTCGACGTTCTCGTTGCCTTCGCATCGTCGGATCGTAAAGTCCATTGTTAAATTCCATGAAAACTTCCCTTTAAAAGTGAATTCACATTCACTCAATCTTCATCGCGATTATTCCTACTCACCTATCGTCACTTTGATGCGAACTTTCCTGGAGTGGAATTCATAAGAACTATCAAAGTTCAGAGACAATTTCGCCATACGCCGTTTACATCCTTCCTTTAAGGGAAATTAGTCATTTTCACGTAGTAGTCATGTTGCGACGATGCACAAAAAAGTGTGATGCACGTGCACAGTTGTTGTTTTGCTGACCTGTTTTCTTTTTTAACTTTTATATTTGTAGCCAGTTGTATCAAAAAATGCAATGTAAGAAAGCGACGAAAATTTGGCTTGTTGTTGTTAACTGGTAAATAGAAAATTATCTCCTTACTGAAAAGGCCACAAAATCGTGATAAATGCGTACTCTTACCAGAAAGATTAAAATGTGAGGTGTTTTATTTACAAAGATTGGTTACCTGATTGATTTGGTAATAAAATAACTAAATAACATCCTCAGTGTCTTAGTTTATAATCATCATTATCACCTCCAGTCTGAAGAATATAGACCACTTTTAGTACATTCTTGATTTTCCATTGTTTCGCCGTTTTTCTGCCAATCTAAGGTTGAGAATCAGGTTTACGGGGCCTCATTGAACAAAACCACAGTAAATGTAGAAAACGCTCGCCATTCGGATCTATGTTTAAATCTATACAACTCTAGTGCGCTCCCTAACGCCGTCCCTATTGCGATAAAAAAGTGGCTTAGCCTTTTCAATTTTTTTAAATATGACAGCGAACGTTCTTAAAGGCTGTTTTTCACTGGCGCATAAGCATAAGCACAAGGACATATGCACACGCAGAATGGCATATTTGACTCAATTCTCGTTACCTGCTCTCCTTAACCCTATGATAAACAAGATGGCGGAGGAAGATTCCGCCATATTGTTTTTGATATTTTCGCATGAGATTTGGGTCAAATTGACCTATGATTGGTCCACGGCCTTGTACTTATGCATATTCTTATGCCGACCCCCTTTTTCATTAGTCAAACCTACGACCTAAGCATAGGCACAAGCACAAGAACAACGAATTAACCCGTCTGTTTTACTTTTGCGTATGCTTATGCGCTGGTGAAAACCAGGCTTAAGATTTCCCTTTGCCGAAACCAACATGCATTTTTTAACACGATTACTTAAGATGTTATATAAACTGACGCACTCTGATTGGTCCAGGACTATGCCCCTAATATAATAAACACCAAGCGCGAGGATGTTTTAGCAATCTCTGCTGCCTTTATGTAGAAGATGGAGGGTAAACAATGAACGCCGAGTACAGTGGAAACAAAAGGAGTTTATTGATCAAAGAAGTCTATAATATTTCGGGACAACACGTTGCACGGTGACAATTGAAATTGATTTTATTGTGTGATCGCTATCTAAAACTTGTTAAGATTTTGACTACAGTTTATAGTGTTAAGAGGGATATGCACTTGTGTTTTACGATAGTCCAAAGCAAATCACTTCCGAATTCACGGCCTTCCTTAATTATCTTAAATCAGAGACATTTTCTAGTCTAGGACATGTTCTCCGCATGTAAAAAAAAATCGAAAGCGTGAAAGAAGGACGATTGCCTTCGTTAACATGGCGTCTACTGTATCTTACAAACGACAGTTCGCACAAAAGCCGTAACTTTTGTGAAAAAAGGCATTTTTCTACAAGCAAATATCAATGTTTCACTTTTTAATCTTTTATTATTAGGTACAGTTCATTGGTAAATTCAAATAATTGATTTAGTTTCCTGATCAAGATTGCTTGGCTCTCTCTGAGCTCTGCCCTAACAATAACGGGGTGGGAGATCAAAACAAAATAGTACACAAAAAATTAACGCTGTACTGTTTTTAAACAGAGATTCACTAAACCAATCTGGAAAAGAATGTTAAGACTAAGAGCAGAAAACACGCGTCAAAGATGATTACACTGCAAACAAATCTCCGATGCTTCATAAGCCACAACCGGTACTCTTTGTAAGAAGCGCCCAAGGTTCCCTAGGCGCTTACCATTTGACAGGAAAATCCGGTTGGGGTGTCGAAAGCATAATGGTAACCGATTTACCAGTACACCGCAAAATTGCCACATCCGTTACGGTTTGAATCCAAAACATGGGCGAATTTGTGTAGCGTGAGTCTGGAACCGACAAGGAACCGAGAGATTGGTAAATGGTAAGCAACATTTCGTTTGGTTCGTACCAACCGGAATGAACGGACTACCTCAAAACGTACTCTTCAATTTTCGCTTGGATTTTCGGAAAAGTGACCTTACCATTGACCTTCCATCCGTAATTTCCGAACGTTTCTGTCAAATGGTAAGCAACCACTATTTCTACTTCGATTCCAATGTTCTAAGGTACAAAAGAAACGCAAAAAAAGGCGGTTGTCTTTTCTTTCGTTAAATTCTGAATGAGAGACAGCACCTCTGAATCGATTCTTACGTGGCTGATAAATTAATGTTTATCTATTCTGAGACGTTAGGTTTTGCTTTATTACACGTGAATCATTGAGTTCAGAGTTTTTTTTATCAGCCAACTAATTTAAATTCGTCATAGGAGAAGGTCCTTTTTTAGTACTAGCTCCCTACGAATTGCAGGAAAATACGTCGTGTCCACATTAGACACAGGCCCTAAGACTGGTGATGATCTCTATTTTTGCTTACAAACCTGCCAATTTTGGCGGACTCTTTCGAGAATTTCTCTAGCTAGACCCAACGCTTTTCTGGCCATGCCATTCGTGTAGACATCATGTGGAATTGCGGGATAATTAACCCTATCAGGGTACCGCATGCGTGTTGAATCCACCACACAACATTCCAGATCGCTGGCGATGCGTGCTAAATCTGAGTCACCCAAATAGCTGGCATTCCATGAAAGATTATGAACACGCGTCTTGGAGGCATCTTCTGCATACTGGGCAGCCTTCAATGCTTTCTCTGCAGCCTACCAATAATAATGAACACAAAGAAATTAAATGAAAAAATACCCACACATTTGCACCCCCACTCTAAACAACAATAAAAACAGAAAGCACAAAAGGCCTCTCTCAACCCCTCTAACATCAGTTTTTAGAAATGCACACGCGATCTTAAAATATATAAATAAAAGGCAAGAAAGTTACTTTGTTATATGTAACATCATTTTGATTCTGAAAATACCAGAATTTGGGAAATATTTCGGTCAAAAGCTGGCAATTACATAATTATTGAAAATCATAAGACAGGCTAAAGAAAAGGGTAAAACTTTATTCCAGGAACGTTTAATTTTATTTTCATAGACATAATCTTTTGCTTTGCTAACCTATTTATATATTTTCGGTAGGGGAAAGTATATTGTCTGGTTTTCCTGGTAAGTAGTAAGATAAAGCTATTTGGAGTGGGTGCCTCTTTGTTTGGCAGACGTTTGCTAGTAGAATTCTGCCAGACATACTTTTAACGTTCCTATCTAATAAAAACATTAGGTTGAACGATTAAATGACATAACCAGCCCACCTGGTGACACTTGAAACACACCCACTCGTAAAATGTGGTGCCAAAACGCAAATCTTCTTGAGCAGCCTTTAGATCCTCTTCGGCCTGTCTGAACCAGCGTCTTGCCTCACCTGGTTGGGGATTTTTCTTGCAGAAACTTGGTGGAACCCATCCACTTCTACTGTGGCTCGTCGAGGCTTCCCAGGAGCCATATGTTTTAACAAACTTTGCTCTGTATTCTTGGCGTTGTGTACAATACAGCTCGGCTCGTGTTGTCCAGACATGGTAAAAACTCTTGTAGCTCCCTTGATCGCTCTCTTCATCATCCCTCTCTAACTTTTCAATTTCATTCTGAAGGTACTGAAAGACTTTCTTGCAGAGATCGGCATCTCCAATGTTTCGTTCGGGATGCCACTGAAGAAACAATCGCTTTATAATCTTTCTTTTTCTTCTCGTAGGAAGACGCCATACCATTTTAAGAACCTCTGTGATTTTTCGCAAAATTGCTTCTCTGTCTGCATCTTGAGTGGAGCTTCCTTTTTGATTAGCAGCAGAAGGGTGAAATTGATGAAATTTGTACAAATCTGCTGACTCGGCAACCAACAGTTCTTTGTCGTGTCCGACATTTACTTTATAACGTTTTGTGTAGATACTTGTATCTTCATCGCCACTGACGTCTTCAACTATAATGGCATAGATAAATGTGGCATCTCCTTTCTGTTTTTCTAGACTTGGATCCTCCAATTCGAAACCAACATATTCTCCGGGAGAGAATTCTTGGAATGCTTCGTTCAGGAGATGATGATCCTGAATCGGGATGAAGTCACCTGGGTCAGGTAAGAGATCACTTAGCGATGGATCATAAGAGTCATCCTGCCGAATTTTCATGTGGTCCAGGATTGACCAAATTTTGTTGGGTTTCGTCCGCAACATCTCTGGTATAAACATAACAGTTTCTCGCAACAATCCCTCGCATGCTTCTGCGATCACTTGCGTTAAGGTCAGTGATATCTGAGTATCGCCCTCCTCTGCCTTGCCATTGACATACACCTTCCAAACATCTCTACCACTTTCTGAAATTTTTTCCAAAAAATGTGGTACTTCTGCTTCACTGCCAGGAATGATATTTTCTTTATACACCAGGTGGGTCACAATTTGGTTCAGTACAAGAAACTCAATACTTCGAAGTCTGCTTTCTAGACGAACATTTGTAGTTTCATCTAAACATTTACTTGGATGGTTTGCGTGACGAATTAACCTCAAAATTCCTTGAAAGAAATGTCTTGAACATAATTGCTTTTTTAAGGATTCAGCAACGATGACGGTGGAACTAGAATCAACATTTTCTTTGGAAGAAGTTAATCTTTCTTGTATGACTTTAGATAGAAATTGCGGTCGTACTATTTCTGGAAGGCGTAAGATGTAGTCCTTATAGTTCATAGAGGAAGAACACTGCAGCTCCGCCATCTTAAGGTCCACTACTAAAAGTTGGTCAAACTTTTCAAGCCTACTCTGATATTCTGGAGCGTCATCGAATATTAAATCAGTCGACTTGTACAGGTTGTCAAAGGAGCATCTGCTAACCTGATACACTGCAGGTAAGTACAAGGTTTGGAACTCAGATTTCTCCTGGGGATTTGGCTCGAGCGTTTCGAAAAGTCCTCGGACCGCTTTTAAAGAACTCTTAATATGATTTGGATTCAACTTCATTGACTGACAGTGCTCGTGTAACATTTCCAAGACCATGGAGTAGTGTAAAGCTGTAACAGAATCAGTGCAGCCCAATCGGCGAAACAAACTCTGAAACTCCCCTAACTCAGGAGGCAACCGATAAAGGAATGGTGATATCTCGAGGCTCTCGTACAGCTCAAGAACCACTTGTTTGCTTTGCACAAATCTTGTCCCCTCTTCAACCAAAATGCAAGGCTTGTTCTTAAGGTCCTCCACGATAGAATTTCCTGTTGAAACCTTTCTTTGGAAAAACTTGTAAATATTTCGCATAACTGACTTCCTGGTGGTACCCTGATCGTCAGCAAATTTCTTGTCATTTTGTTTGGAAACTTGACGAGTGATGTTAAGGCAGTGTGAAATAACCATCTGCACAGTGGGTTCAGATAAAACGTTCAGAGCCGAAAGGATGGAGCTGGTAAAATCGTCCCTCTTTAAGTAGTGAGGTACTTTGATTTCAAAACAAAATCTCGGATCAGCCCATCGTGGAAGTATGTGCGCTGCTGTCCACACGGTTTCAGTATGATCAGAAACAACAGAGTCTTGAAATGAAATGTATGGACTGAGGCCATCGTCCTTTGAACCATACTGTGAATGTAACTTTTTAAGGTCATCCGCGACTGGATCTGAGACTACAAAACGAACATTACAAATCGCTTGCAGCAGTCCATCTGATGGTTTCGATCGTTTCAAAAGGTTGGAAACAAGAAGCTTTGACTTCTCGTCTGTCTTCGAAGCACGGCGCTGTGATGCCTCCTGTGCAACTTCTCTGGCAAACTTGATGAAATGATCACGGGAAATTTCATGTATCATTCCTATTTTCCTCATAAACGGCAACCACTCTAGACAGATGTAGGGAACAGGTGGGAAGCTTTCTTCGGGAAGCATGGCTTTGAAAACTTCATTCCTTGGGTCATAGAAACTAGACGCTTTTTTCAACGTTCCCTCTTGGCTGGATATGACTTCTGTGTTACTCAAGCATTGCAACAGTCTGTACTCATCGCTCGCATCATTAAGCAAGGAGTCGCGGATATACTTGAGGTGCTTCTGCCGTGCCTCGGTACTGAAGACCTCGAAATGTGGTAGGACGGACTGACAATACACATCCACAGTCGAGATGGAATCAAATCGCAAAAATTTAAATAGTTTGGAGAGATCTTCCATGGATTCCAGAAACAACATTTTCACTTTTTGTTGTAATAAGGCCATCTCTTCTCTGGGCATAACACTTGGTATTACGCAAACTTTTTGTTCATTTAGACTGACAAGACGACCGTCTATAGTTGAATAAAAGGGTAACTTTCTCAGAGTAGTTTTGCACGACTCTAAGTCGTTTGCAAAGAGCGTTTTCTCGAGGATTTCAACGTTGTGGCTAAAATACTGAAGGATGACTTTGCAACTTGAAAGACCCAATTTTTCTTGCAAGGACTGTGGGTTTCGCTTCATCTTTTGGAGGAGTGCTGCAAGGATAGAACTCGGTTTTTCAGGCGATGCTACGATTTGCCTTGCAATGGGCTGAGAAGCCAAAAACGTATTGTTTGCAGACGAGGTAGCAAAAATAGCACAATTCATCTCAGGAAGACCCAGGTCTCTCAAAGCTGAATCCAGTGGACTGCTTCTAGATTGCTCCCTAAAGTCAAGAACAGATTCGGCTAGTGTCAAGGGAACCAACACTTGTTCGTTGACCACACTTGGGTCATTTGAGTCAATTTCAACCTGCACTTCAGTTGCAGGGAGGATGTTCCAGTTAGTCAGAGGATTCAGTACTGACAGTATGCTTCCTGGCCAACCTCGCTGAAAGCGTGCTACCTCTTCCCCAAGGTAGCTCCAGACTCTAGAGATCCACCAACTATTTGGCTGAATCGTGCTATCTGGTTTCCACGTGACGTATTCATCTGACCGACAAAACGAACACGCCGGCAAAGAATGCGGTAAAAGGAAAGAAAAAGCCTGGACGTCAAAACTTCGGAATACAGGTGCCTCGAGACTTGCAGTGTCATCGAAGAGCTTGTATCTTATATGCTCATGGACAAACATGTCCTTCGAATTCGGCAAAATGTCGTGGTAGCGAGACAAAAACTTGGGATTGTAAACATCAAATGCCCGAAGGATGTTGTCCTGCGTTAGAAGCAACGGAAGACCATGTAATCTTTTCAGAAAATGAAAATCTCTCTTGCAGTACCTGAGCAGAAGTGCAAGACTTTGGACGTTTTCGAACGGCGTCTCGCTGATATCGATTCCAACAGTGACAAGGGAATCTTGAGAGCTGTACGTCTTAAAGAAATCTAATACCGAGGAAGGTGAAACACAAGTGGTGTTGACATCAGATTTCTTGAATGCCTCAAATACAAGTAAGGAAAAACTTAGCAGATTAAACCCCGTTTGAATTAGGATTTCTCCAAGATCACGTTCTCCATGTTTACTTTGCCTGCTAGCGCTTCCAACATTGTCAGTGTTGTTAAAGAATGCTTGGTCTTTTCCTTTGCCTGTTGGCGGAAACCACTTGAGTTGGATTAAACGTCCAGGGGTTGTACTTTGTGAAGAGCAGCGCACTACAGGCAAAAGCCGCAGTCGTTTTTCATCCATGCCCCTATACACTGATCTTACAAGTGTGTTCCAGTGGGAACCAAGACCATCAAACTGTGGAAATAAATTCTCAAAACGTCTAACCCTCTCCAGGAGATCATCTTCAGGACATCTTAGAGTTTCAGATTCGTTTGTCATGAATGGTAATTGGTAGAATCCCCTCACTTCGTCTAAAAGTGTAAGATAGCATGATGCCACCACGTCCCCAAGCATCGCATTGTTCCACTCACTCCGATAGCCGCTTTCTTCGTCCCACCACAAATTTCTTCTGGCCTCGTGATCCAAAGCAAAGTGTCCATTGATGTGAACTGGAAGGTTGGTTTCTATGGGAAGTGGAAGAAAACAGTAAGCTTTCTTTTTCCTTACCGCTTCTCCAGGTGTCTTTGATTTCTTCTCTAAAAGACAAGCTACGCCACCTCGAGGAATCAACCTCAGCTCGTGATTTCGGTAAGCAAATGCTATGCTTTCTGAGACGGTTTTTTCAAAACCAAACTGTTGAACAATTAGCCACTTCTCTTCGTTGCCATCCGAGTCCCTCAAAGTCATGACATAGGAGCACTTTTTAACTTCGGTATTTAAGATGACGCTTCCATTTTCTTTTGCTAACTTTCCGATCTGCTTTATATGGTTAGCGAATTCACTTCGTTTCAGTTCATCCTCATCCGACATCGCCGCCTCAACTGAGAACGTGTTTGTCATCTTGCCGCAGTTTTTATCGATATCACATACAGTAATTTTTTTGACATTATTAACGAAAAGGAGGACTTCAAAGAGCTCGTTCTTTAGGGACTGCATCATTTCATTCAGTTTCTCGGGGGTAACTGGGGTTTTCGTTAACCTGGAAACTTTTGCCATTTCTTTTGTTCGAAGAGGAAATCGGAACACGGTGGAATTCTCCATGGGAAAATGTTCTTCTAGATAGCAGGAAAAAACGTCTGGAAAAACTGTCCTTAGTTGTTTGGTATCTGTGTACTTTCTTCCAGGTACTTCAGAACTTGCTCCAGGGACATACCGGCAATGTGGATCGAATACACATAAGACGTCGCCAATTTCTTTGCCGCTGGACATGAAGGAAGGAACATCTGTCAAGTGGTAGACGGCATTGAAACCAACGCCATATTGCCCAGTCTTGTTTGGGTCATCCACCTTACTTCCTTGTCCAAGGTTTTGTATTCCTTCAATGTCGACCTCAGTAAAAGGCTTGTTGTTGTACACACATAATGCCGGACCCTGCAAAGGTTCCCAACATTCGTCGAATACTCTTTCCTTTGAATGGTGTCGGGGATCATGAATAAAGCAAATTTCGGTTGCTTGAGCGTCGTCAGCATTTTGGAGAAGTTCTTTCAAGAGCTCCTTCTCGCATGGAAAGGCTTCCAAAATCCGCCTTAAACGATTCACCAGTTCTTCTCTCTGACCAAATGGGATTCCATGAGTATACTGCCACAAGGCTGCTGCTCGACGAGTTTTAACTCCTAAGTGGTAACAGTTTAATACGGGGATTTCGGGATGGACATACTGGACGCCTTCGTTGTTAGAAATCCAAGGGCAATCATCAATACAAAGTTCACTTACGAGTTGCATTACTCCACGCGAATTTGGAAGGTAAACTGATTCCCTTTTAAAGTCAGCTGTAATCTGCACTTTGGACTTCTCCAGTGATTCTTTCAATTGAGCCGCCAGACTTATTGCAACACGAAGTTTCTCCTCGTCTAGTTCTTCGTCTTGAAAATCTTGCTTAATGCCCTTCAAAGCAGAAATAAAATCTTCCACCTGGAAAACCTTCCTCACGCCAGCCACCTGCATCAACGGTAAGTATCGCCTGGCTAAATCAATTGGAAGCTTGTACAGATATGGAGAACAATCGCCCGTCAACTTTAAAGCAACTTGATTTGAAGGCACAAACCTATCTCCCACAAAAATGAATTTTGAACGTCGAAGAAAATCGGCTATTTGCGTTTCATGACTATCGAGAGCTTCCTGAAGGAATTGGTAGGACTGGATGCAAACTTTTCTTATTTCCTCAGTTTCAGCATCACAGACTCCTGTGCCTGTAGAAATTGCCTTGTTAATTTGTTCAGATACATGCATCACTTTGGGTCGTTTTCCGTCTAATCTCAGAAACGTTTTGGCTTTTTGTGCGAGAGACTCTTCTATGACTGGCTGGCTGCAGCATACTAAATACATGTGCTCGGATAAAAATCCCTCCATCGACGATACGAACACTTGATTTTTTCCACGATCACTTTCACTCCCCTTCCAAATAAGAGGAAATGACTTTGGTTTCTTGAGAACTGGTAGAAATTTTGCTTTCAAAATTCTAGAATAATCCTCACTCAGCAAAGAAGATGTACCTTCACGAGTCAGCTTCTTTTCTAAAAAGTCGATCAGGGTTTTGGCTCTTTTAGTAGCTGCGTCCGTAGACTTTTGATTTAAGATACTGATGCTCTCTGCTCTTTCGGCAACCTCTGTCCAGGAGAGATCGTCGGTTGACATTCCAAGTTGCTGGAGTTTGAATAGTCTTTGGGGATGAAGAAATGTTTGTTCACTTCCGTGTGGAAACCTTTCATCGAACGGGCAAAACAAGGAAGCAGTGACTCCGCTTGGACTTATTAGCTGGCTGGGACACTTCAGGGATTTACCAAGCGGTGTTGTTGGAATGCATTTATGGCCCTTAATCATCTCGTCAAGCCACTCATTTTTCTCATCCAGTGCGTACATGACCAGCCTGTCTCTTAAGTGAGACGGGACAGAACCAATGTTGGGGAAAAATAGCTCGACAAAGAACCTCTTTACATCATATCTTTTGGAATGGATAAGTTCTTCGTACCCATAGTTTGCAAAGGATTTGTACACATCATAAGGAAGATCAATCACAGCTACATCCCTTGAAACCAACGCCTGAAATACTTTAAAAGAAATGTCACCGATTTGAGAATCTTGGAGGAACTGTGGATCGAGAAAGACAACCTCATGGATGCTGACCCATTTTTCTCCATCTGAGAAAAGGGAACTACTACCAGAAGCAAGGTGATCGTAAAGTGATCTCGCGAGCGGTTCACAGGCCTTTTCCACTTTACAAGACAAGGGCCAAAGCCAATGATACAGGTATTTTCTCCCAGACATTTGAGTACTAGACGACTTAACGTCTTCAAGAAGATCTAGGTACGCTGCGCAGACTGAATCTTGGAATAGAATATTGTTCCAGTCTGCTCCAACACAGGCTTTGTCGTCATTTGTTTTCTGTTTCAAAGTACGTCTGTTTGAGGCCACTGCAAAAGCGCCATTAACGTGTAAAGGAAGACCGCTGTAGATTGGAAGTGGAAGATAGCAGAACAAGGTTCCTTTAAAATCTGAAGGACAAAGAGGCCCTGAAACAGAGCCATTGTCAAGGGACAGTCGAACAGCAACTCCTGCAGAAGGAATAAGACCTTTTTCACTCCGGGAAAGCATCAGTGCTTCGCCTTTGCCCATGGAAGATGCGACAAGCCAAGTCTCGACACCTGTTGGTAGAGTAGTAGTGTCTTGAAAGAAAAGGCGTCCATCATCCGTCACGATGCTCTGAATGTTAAGGATTAGCCCTGATCTCAGCAAAAGGGCGCTTTCATTTTCTGCTTCTTCGAAAAATTGATCAGCAGTCATTGTTGATGCCTTAAGAAAGTTGCATTGCTCCAGACAGAGTTTATCTTCTTTGCTGAGACTGCTGGCAGCAAAAGGGAGGTCGACTTGCATAGGCAACTTCCGTATGATTCCTCCTTGCATTAACGACTTCGTTACCTCAAACAACATTTTGGGTTGTCTCGCATCTGTCGCCTCTTTGGACAAGTGAAAAATTTTGACTCGACAGATATTCTGCGTAAAGAGTAGTAACGATCCAGCCCCTTTGATAAAAATCTGTAAAAGTTCTTTCATTTGCTTGCAGTCATAAGCAAGTTGTTTTATTTCGCTCTTTATAGCCTGAGTTTTGGTTCGTAAAGGGAAGCGAAACAGTGTTCCGTGGAATGAATTGTCTTCTTTTTCCAGACAGAGATCACAGCCAAAGATACCATTAAACGGCTTAAATTGATGGCGAAAATTTCGCAGCTTCTTTACGTTTTTGTTGGTGTCAATCTTTATGCCCGGTTTGGTTTTGTTTCTAATGGCTTTTCCAAGATGAAAAGTGTTAGGATCAAAGATAACAAAGTAGTTTCGGCTCACTAACATAGGAACGTCTGTCAGATTGTACACTGCATTGAAGCCAAGTCCAAATTTTCCAATTTTTTGTGTGTCTTCTTCTTTTGTCGCTCCATTTAACTTAGTCAGATTTTGAAAATCTTCGTTCTGAAAGACAGCATCATTGTACACCCATAAAGCGGGACCTTGGCAGTCTCTCATTCCTTCGTCAAACAAAAAATCCATTGCATCCTCGTTGGTTCTTTCATCGTACAGGAACCTAACTTCAGTTGCCCCCGCGTCGTCCGCATTTTGAATGAGTTCTTTCGGTACTGCAAATCCATCGGTGTAGTCCTCCAATAGCGTGCTGAGTCGACTAGTAAGTTTTTCTTCCTGTCCACACTCTTCCCCAAATCCAAGCTCATCAGGATCTAGCATACTGTTCTGTAGGGTACGAACGTTGAAATATTCTGCAGTGCTAAGAGGAACTTTTCGGTGTAATAGTAGATAATCCATGCTTTCATCATCATCTAATGGCCGCGACCCGTGCTTTAAATAAACGCATTCTTCCACTTGTGCTAGCTTCACATAAGCATCGTTTTCTACGAAAGTTGGAAGCAAAACGTCCTGGAGAAGTTCTGGTGATATCTCACCACCGACTTCGGATTCCACCTTATTCAAAATGTTGATAGACAACTGTAGATCTCTTTCCACCTCTTTAAAATGAAACTGTCGCTCTTCACAATCATCATACTTCTGTTTAATCAATTGCAGGACAAACATCAAGCATGAAAGATCACACTGCTCTTGCATGCCACACTTGGAAAACAATTCAGAGTACTTGTTCATCTCTGTAGGAAGGGATGCAATGTAAGGCGAGAGGTCAATAGAAGGCTTTCCCGCCAGTACAGCATTGGGAAAGGAAAAGCCGTCTCCATTCCAAATCCATTTCGAGCTTTTAATTCTCTCCAAGGCTTGTTCCACGCCAGTGTCATCTGTCCCAAGTAAGAAAGAGTAGATTTCTTCCACCATTAACATGTAATGTGGCTTATCATCCTTGCAGTAACTATCGACCACAATTTCAAAATGCTTCACAACGTCCAGTGCACAAGGACTCTTGTCCCAACCAAAATGTTTCGCTAAATCACTTGATGAATGAACTGGAACAATAGGCCTTATCGCTCCAATTATGGACGCCCTATCTTCTGTCTCTACCTCCGTAGGCTTGAAGAAATAAGGTTTTGTTTCATTTTTTCCGTAGAAAGGAAGGCTACTGGGAAAATCATGGGGCTTTACTCGCACTGGTGATATCCAGGGAGCATCTTGAAGCTGTAATCCCAACGACATTCCAAAAACGTCGTCCTGAAGTTTATTCGGATTCATGTGCAAATAACTCAGAATTGCTGTCGACTTTTTCTCCGCCTTTTCCAGTGGTGTTGTGTCAGCGATGTTCATAGCACTTCTGTAGAGGTCTTGAGCTGTGATATCTTCCTCACCCTTCAGGCCAAGTTTCTCCAGATGTCTGAGCACTTCAGGATTAGCATACTGCAACACGGGAAAAACATCTTCGTCCGCAAAAATGTCCATCAATGGGTCCTTTCTTGGATGGAAGAGTTCTCTAGCCTGAAACCGACGTCCACTGTTGGTTGGGACAAATTTTAAAGCTTTCATCTCCTCTTCTAATCTGGTGTCCGTGTCAATATGGCCCAACACAGAGAACATTAGCTTATCAATCTCTTCCGCTGAATAGTGTCCTCTGTTGACATCTGGAAGTATTCTATTACATAAAAATTCGATTAGTGTCGGTATTCCGGACGCCTAGCAAGCGGACCACAGCAACAGAGTCGTCTTCTTTAACGTCAATAAAGTCACCGCGAGGTGTCACTGGAAGAGGTTCTCTTGGTGCTGCACTTAGAACCTGCTTTTTCGACACGAACTCTTGAGATAGTGTCTCGAAAACTGGAAGACAGGAAAGATATTCCTTTTCCTTTGAGGAAAGGGAAGACACTTTAGCGATCAGTTTTCTTAGGGAACGTCTGCCATCATCTTGAACCTTACTTAGAATAGCGGAGTGCATGCCTATCCCCATTACGCTGGAAGAAGACAACATAGCTTGCAAAACACCTTTGACAGATGGTGGGTGGACAAATTTCTCTATTCCGGGATGGCTTTTTAGAAAATGCGGGGATTCATTCATGACCATCACACCCAAAGCTTTCAGTACATCACACAAGGAACTGTCCAAGAGATCTTCACTTTCACTTAGCTTACTGGTAACAACTTTAGACGGGGTTGCCATCTTTGTTAATTTTATAGGGCGTTGCGAGAGGTCAAGCGGAATTAAAGGAAGGTTTGCAAGTTTGTGGAGATCCCTTTCAAAATATTCTCGTAGGTAGTCCCACACGCTCTTGAGCCAGTTTTCCGTGGGATGATTGTAGTTCTCATCATCTGGGTACCATTCGACAACGTCGCTATTTACCCACTTAGATGGCAGGGTCTCACGCAGTAGGGCCGGAATATGATCTTTACAAAAACGTTGCAACTGCGTACACCCTACATAAGAATTAAACACGACAGACTCACATTTTGCTGTTAACATATAGTGTAAATAAGGGGTCTAACCCTCAATACAGGAATCTTTCCTTGTATTTGGAACTTCTCCCAATGGAGGCTGTACGCCAAGGAAACAGCTTAAAATCTAAAACACTCTTGTTTGGCCTTGATAAAAGGGCTCTCTGCTTTTGTTTATTATTAGTTTTCGAAATTTAGATCTCTCAAACTAGAGCTAGTTTCCAATGAGGTCACATGTGTGAGACGTGCGCACTTGTTTTTGTGATTGCTCGGGCAATGATGTACAAAATAATACGTTAATGTTGGCATCTTTTCATCATTCTCAAAATAATGAACTTCGCGCTCAAGTAAAATTATTTTGGCATTTAGAGCCCAAAATAACAACAGTTTCCATTTTTAACTTACAATAGAGAAGAAATCAAAACGTAAAGTAAGTTAAAAGCCTTGTAACTTCGATTTATTTGGCTTAGCGTTTGCAAATTTTTCTCCAATAACCACGATGAAAGGTTAGTTTTAGTGTAAAATGAAGTGAAAAATTGAAAATTTTATGTACTGGGGTGTAATATTTATTCATATCCTTAGAGCACCTTATTCCCAATTTGTATTAGCTTTCTACAGACATTAATCCTCTTAATTGCCTACGCTAATATATGGCAACTTAGTTATAAACATACCTTGCTTTTCAACTGCTTCTAGGCTTTTAAAGAGGTGCTCATCAATGTCGTGGTCTAAAAATCGATGTTCCAGGCCTGGTAGAAGGCTAATTTCCTGAGGAGGCTTACGTGAGCAAATGAAAATAGCTTCTCCCTTCTTTGAAAATGACGAAAAACCTCTTTTGGCATTAGGCAGTAACTCCAAACCAAGGAGTTCTTCAAATTGGCCATTCAGCACAAATTTCAAGAGTAACAACTTTTGCATTCGATCAAGGCTCCTATAGCAAGTTGGGAATTCTTTCAGCACATTTTGCACCAGCGAGGGAGTGATCTCCTGCGTGACAGTCACAGTCTCCAGTACATGATCGGGCAGGCACGCGACATTTTGATTGGCTTGAAGCAAAATTGTAACGAGCAGCTGCTTAAGTTCGCTGTCATTTTTGTCGAGGGTGTCAAAAATGGCCTCCTCCGCCTTAAGCCACTGACCTCCACTGACTGGAGAGTATACGAAGCTTTCACCACGCAACAGCTGTAAAAATGGTTTCTGAAGCCTTTCCCAAGCCGGATCAATAACTTCCTTATCTGGCCATGCTCTAAAAGACAAATGATGTAAAAGTATCGTTTGTAACAGGGTAAAACCTTTACGACCACTGTTTTAAGCGGTGACGAGATTTCTTTCTGACGTCTACGTTTAATCAATCAAAACGCCTTAAATTCCAATCACCGTTTTTTTTATCGTTTTCCAGTTGAGAGAGTAGCTTTACCATTCGATATATAGACATAAATCCCTTAATTTGACTCTGACGAAGTGCCAGCGCTGGAAAAGCCAGCCATTAACTTTCTCAACTAGCCTAATAAAACAAAATTTTTGTGTTATTTGGTTTATTAGAAACTAACTGTGCTACCTATATTCGCATACCAGGCAAAAAAGAGCAAGTTAAAGAATTCCTATAACAATAACTCCGAAATAAATGAGGTCCCACCGTTAACCAATACACAGGCCACACCAATAAACACGGTGACTGGTAATGTGAAAAAAAGATAAGAATGTGATAAAAACGATAACAAAGTCTTTCGTGAGATGGTGCGTTTGGAACGAAACTTTATACTAAAAGTGTAAAAAAATAACCTTACTTGTACACTGCATCTGGATTCATGTTGAAGTTGATTATGGCTTCCTTAATCATCGTGACATAGGCTTTTGGAAGAGCCTCTTCCATCAAACAACAATTCCACAATAACGACTTTTCGGTAAGTTTGCTTCGGTCATCTTGATCTTTGTTTGGGGTTTTGATGTGGCGTCTGTTCTGAGTGAGGGCGAAAAATCCATTTACATGAACAGGCAAACCTGTCATACTCTTCTTTTGCACAGGCAAGGGCAAAGCGCAAAACACGTGACCAGCAACATCAGGCGTTGGCAGGTTTTCTGTCGAGGGAACCCCCATAGCGACGCCAACGGAGGGTAAATAGCTAAGTTCTTCATCTGTCAGGAGCCTCTCAAATTCGGATGAGACGTCGCTACCGCAGCAGTAGCTTGTGACAAGGAAGGAAAACTGTTGAATGTTGTTTTCAATGCCCATAACCACCTTCTCAATTGTAACTGGATACGTCACTGTGACAGGCTCAAGCATGTGTTTACCTAGTTCGATTTTGTCAAAGAACTCCTTCCTCTTCTTCCTAACTAACTCAAGGCTATCTTCAGTGATTTTCGCTTGAAAGATTCTTTTTGGCATGAATTCTGAAATCTCTCGTGTGTAAAGCTCAATGGATTCCAGATTTCGAAGAAACAAAAGCACAAGGTGAGCATCGGCAAAGAAACTGTCAAACAACCTCTCCATTTTTTCCTCCGAGTACAATGTCCCTGATAATTTGGATGGAGTTTGTCGTAAAGGGAAACGGAACAATGTCCCACCGTACTTTCCATCAGAGAAGACTTCATCGTTACAATCAAATATTTCTTTGTAAGGACGAAACTGATCTTGTATATGTTCCATCTTTTCCTGCTCCTTTAAAAGCCAGCTGAACCCAGTTATTCGATACTCGTGATCACTCAAGTGCTCCAGCGGATCAATGAAACCTATCCGTGTGTTGCTGAGGATACTCGGTAAATCTAAAAGCCAAGGAAACATGCTTCAGATATATGCGCTATTGACCAAACGTGACGTCAACATGGCTGCTGAATATTGGCAGATAACTTTTCGTGAAGTTAAGGCCAATAAAAAGGCAAGAAATAAGCACGAGGCTATGTCAAGCCATCTTGACCGAACATACCTGGCGAGTGATGGAGTGATGGATTTATTATCTTCTCAAGAGAAGTATTTTTGGCAGGGAAAATCCCTAACAGGCAAAAGAGGCTCGATGAAAATAACAACACAGGATTTACTTAATCTTTCACGCGTCCGGAAACAGCCATGCAAGGTCATATAATCACATATAATGAGTTAAGGTATCCTTTGTAACTGATAGCCAATTAGTTTGCCTTAAGTCGTTGAAATGTTGCAGCAATTTTGGATTTTTATTATGTTTCTATTCTTGTTGTGGGCGATTATCAAAATTAGCCTGTTTTCGGGTAATAAAAAAATAAATCATATTTCTAATTCTTTGCCTGGCCAATAATTCTAAAAATAACAAGCTGAATAAACAAACGCTGAATATAATATTTGATACAGACGATCACAGATATAAATGGTGCTAATTGTATGTCCCATATATGCGATATACCTACCTGTCATGTGAAATACTGACTTGAAACCAAGGCCAAACCGACCAACTTTCATGGGATCTTTCACTTTGTTACTGTCACAGAGCATCCTGATGCCCCTCCAGTCGCCTTTGGTAAACTCGGCGTTATTGTACGCATAAAGCGCTGGACCCTGTTATGAAGCAATTACAAGTTTGAACGAAAGATACTAACAAGATTTCTACAAAGGTACCTTAACTGGACATAGACCTGCCCAGTCGGGATAGGCGTTAACGTTAACTGCCCACACGAGGTGCTTCCGCACCCAACCCCTTAACGAACACTGTCGGGTCGGAGGTCTTTAGAGCTAGGGTTGGACTCAGACAGAGTGAACGCGTTGAGCTGTGTTGTGAGACGGATCCTTTCGTTTTTTCGTCGTCATCCCAGAAGAAAAGAAAGGCAAAAAATTTTCAGATGTCAGAACTTAAGACCCCGCAGTAATTTTAAGACCCTGAACATTGTCCATTGCGAGAATAGAACTCTGGGCTGACCAGTACCCAGTCTAGTAACGACACTCTAAAGTTTCTGTAAAAAGTATTTGCGCGTAACATCTTGATTTGTCTGGATAAGAATGCGCCTACATTTCTATACTGTTTTATTTTGCCTTTTTTTGTATTGCCCATCGAATGGATGGATGGATGGGTAGAAGGATGGATGATGATACAAACGTCTGTAAAATTTCGTGACTTTTTGGAGCAATACCTTCGCTCGCTTTTAACGTAGCTGCTTCAAAATTGGCAAGTTTCCTTATTTTGAGGGGCTCTTTTCAGAAGTGTCAGTGGGCATTCGCTAACTAGTATGTATAAAAACTTGTAAAAACCGTGGAAAGGTTTAATGTGTTTTGCAACTTTTAAACTTTCTCCTGCTTGTGAATATCTCTTGATCGACTTGGTTCGAGACGAGCCTTTCTCAAAGAAATGTAAATACCCAAGATGATTAATCTCTTTTTTCTCCTTTGAGTTGGAGCTACAGTTAACTAAAATTTACCATACTTCCCCGCCCTCTTTATTTTCTGGTTTTTGTAGCGTCTGTAATCCGTAATGTAAGTAGTGCAAGTAGCTGTGTTTTTTTTTGTATACATGTAAAGCGTGGAGTATAGCACTGTTAGTGGTGTAAGTATCTCATTGTAAGTAAGTATTGCAAGCTTTGTATTGTAAGTAGAGTATATAGTATTGTTAGTAGCGTAAGTATCTCACATTGTAAATAAGTATTGTTTTGTAAGTAGAGTATAGTTTTCTTAGTAGCGTAAGTACCATACATTGTTTGTAAGTAAGTATTGTAAGTAAGTACTTTGTAATTGAAAATAAAAAAAAAATATCCAAGATGCTTATCTCTATACAGAGAATTGGAAACCCTGCATTGTTCATTCTTAGCTAACTCTTTGACAAAACTCGCCTGAAAGGTGGCAAGTTTTTGGCTGTGCAGCTTTTCCTTTCCATAACTGTGTTTGTCATGCAGAAATTTCACTTGACTTGCACCCGCATCCTCTGCATTTTGGATAAGTTCCTTCCAAAAAAAGAACAAAAACAAAACAAAAACAAATACGGACAACTATATGCAGACCCTAAACAGTGTCAAATGGGATGATGCTAAAAACTGCTTAACTAAGAAAGCAAAAATACCGGATTGGAGTTCATATTTTCCGGCTGTGTGCTTGCGTGGCCTGAACGGCAAACATAAATGGGGTGGGAGGGGAGGTGGGTACCGGATTTCCGCCCTTCCTTAAATACCGGGAGTGACAAAAAACTGAAATGTGCGCATGGCATGAGATCAGAACGACTGAGTAGACAAATACGTGGCAAAAGGAATAGATTTGTTGAGACAGATCTGTTTCAAGACTTTTAACTACATAAAGATTACCTTCAGTATCTGCCCATCATCAGGATATTGATCTAGTATGGTTTTTAACTGTTGCAGGAGGGTTGGCTGAATCACGTTAAAATCATCATCATCCTCTACAACCACCAAACAAGCAAAAAACGTTCGAGAATCAGTGGCGGCCTTTCAAGTCATATCAGAGTCAAAACATAAGACAACTTATCTTGTAGAAGCAATCTTACTTACTCTGTTCACTCATCATGCTCACATCACATGAACATATCGATATCCCTGGTCTGCCAAAAAAAAGCAATTAGTTACAAGTCAACGATGCCAAGAAAAGAAAGATAAAAAAAGGGAAGGGAGGGAGGAATGGAAGGACGTTTAAAAGGAAGGAGGAAACGATGGAATACAGGAAGGAGAGAGGGGAGGGAGGGTGGGAGGAAGAAAGGTAGGAATATAAGAAGATAGGAAAGAAGAGAAGAAGGAGAAACGAAGGAGGAGATGGAGGGAGGAAGGTAAGGAGGAATTGGGCCAGGAGGGTGGGAACGATAAAATGAGAGGCAGCCAGAGAAGGCAACGAGCAGGAAGCAAATAAGAAAGAGAGGGAGTAGGAGGGGAGAGGGAAGTGGAATGGAAACAAGGAAGCAAAGAAGAAAGAAAAGTAGGAGGCAGGCAGGGACAAAAAAAGAAGGAAGGAAAGAGAATTAAGGACGATATTTTGTCAAATCTTTTCAGCATTTGAAACCAAAATGAAAATTATGGTGAGGATGAAGAAAACCACAGGAGAAAATTGGAGATTTAATCAAATATGCTGGGCGCTTATTGCAAAGAAACCCATTGGGCCGGTTATTTAAACGGAGTTTAACCAGTGTTTAACAAAACCGTGTCTAATTAAGTCATTTTCAGTTTGCACAAAAATGCAAGGGTTTTATCTAAAAGCCATTTTGCTGAACAGTTTCATTAAGGCGTATAGAGTAGAAAAGCCGTTTATCCTGTTAAATTGACCCACTGAGGGGGAGATCTGGAGGTTCAAAAATGTCTTAAACAGCGGTGTAAATTAGACTTGGTTTAAGTAACCGACCATTATAATTAATGCGAGAAAACTAACTAGGAGGTTTAAGGAAATTCCCTATAGTTAAGAGGTGCTGCTAAACACCAACAAGATAATCATTGCACAAAGACTCAGTATAAAGCAAACCAATAAAAAAAGGATATAATTAGTAGATAGCAATTCTCATGGCTCTTTTTTAAAGGTTATTTCCGCTGAATTTTTCTAACTTATAGTTTGCATTTCACTTTGTTTTGTCTGGCTTGAATACCTCGGCGCCTGAGCCAGAGTTTGCCTGTAGAGCGCTTCGATAAACACTCGTCGTTATGTTCACTAAAATTTTCGAAATTCAGAAGCTCGAAAATGAGGATTAAAGGATAGTAAAAGGCAAAGGGTTTAGGTTACACTGAATATAAACTTTCGCACGAAATACTGTGTTCAAGATGCTTTAGTTTTGGAAAAGAACCCGAGCGAATCAGGACTGAAATAACACTTTAATTTACGGAATTATCTAGAAACCTCACCACCACTTGTGAAAATAGTTTCTGAATAAATATTTCGACGATTTTTGTTAGAATACGAACTATTTCCTTGAAATGTAGTCATGCATTGAACTCGTAGTAACTTTCATGTGAGCAGATGTCAATTTCCGCAAGACGGAAGCCGGCCAAACAACAACGCCAACCCCTCAAGTGCGAACAGAGTTTCCTTTCCTTTTTACTTTTCACAGTGCACTGCTGTCAAGTATAGCCAAAACCTTTTAAAAAACATATCATTTGCACCTATTCGCATAAAAACCTACCATCCGCTCCTAAAAACATCCCGTTCACTGTCAAATTTCTTAATGGATCTTAAAATCTCGTTCTTTCAATTGCCACTTCCTTAATAAATTCACAAGCTAAAAAAAGTAATAGACGACACTTGAACATATGTATCGTAACATGTTTCTCGGAAAGGAGGAAGAGTTTCAGTAGCTTTCCAGTAGATCGATCATTATACTCGCCCATTAAATCCCTTTCTGAGTCCTTTCTGCTGTATGATCAAGGGCTTGAGCAACAACATGGATATGATCGGCGAAGCGATCCGTCCGCATAACAAACGCATTTTACTTATCATTTTTTCCCTGGACTTGCTATTTCGGGAGGGGTATATCTTAACTTCTCAAAATTTTAGGTCTTAATCAAGAACTTTCCAATATTTTGTTCGTTTTACTCGTCCATGCATTCGATACACGATACTTTGTCGTGTTTGCTTGGATGATTTTAAAAGGGACTTTAAGATCCAACGACGCGACGGCGACAAGAACGTGGCTTAAAAAGTGAATTTGCGTTCTTTCACTCTTTATAGCGATTATTCCTACCCACTTACTTTATCAACTGTAGGCGAACCCACCTGAAGCTGAATTTCAAGGGCCTATATTCAAGCTCAGAAACAGAAGTAAAATTTTGTCGTTGCTTGTTTACGTCCTCCATGAAAGGCGAAATTAGGCATTTTCGCGTCGTAGTCGTGCAAAAACGGGAAAGAAATATACAAAAAGTGTGATGTGCAAAGTTTTTGCTTTGCTTATTAAACCTAGTGTTTGTTTTTTTGTTTGTTGACGTTCTCGTTGTTGTCCGCGTCGTTGGATCTTAAAGTCCCCCCGCGAACAGGTTTCTCGGAAAACGGTGAAGTTAGTTACAGGAGGCGCTGAAACACTTGGATTCAGGGCTTTGAATTCTACCAACCAGGACTAAATTTTGCCTGTTTTCAGCTTTAGAATATGTGTGACATACCTTTTTTGGTTAACTCCGTTTTCGCTGGTTCACAGAACAGAGAAGTAAACCATTCCCTGTCCACAATCTTTTGGAAATGAATCTTTCCCAGAATATGCTCTTGGATAATGGTAGACGCCACGTGAGCAGATTTCTCGGAATCGATCTGTTGCAGCTGCGCTGGATCTTCCCAGGCCTTCTCGGTCAATGTATTTTCGGTGATGTATCCGAAAAGCACTCGAATGGGGCGAGATTGATATAATTATCTTAACTGCTTTCTCAGGTAAAATATTTTTCCAGTCAAAGGCATATATGTATGGAAGGGCTGCAGTTTCAGTAAGATGATATATTCAAATTTAAGAGCGGCTCCGCGTAAATATCAACTAGACGTGGAAATAGTCAAAAAATGACCTGGCCTCAAACTCAGCCAGAATAAAGCCCTATGGGCCCTAGTTACAAAATCGTTGGTTTAAGTACGATCGAGTGAATAATATTTTTTTAACGAATTTTTTTCTTCCCGAGGCCTAAAATGTGGTTCGGTGGTTCCTTGCGTTGAAACATCCCGACTAAAAGCCAACAACAGGGAATGAGCTCTTCGGAAGCTAATGAACTAGTGGCCACATTCGGATCTCAAAAAAAGATTTGGACAAATTGAAAGGACAAAATCGAAGGAACTGACCGGCGAAAAGAGAAAAGAAAGCCAGTACAAACAAACGAAAACACATGATATCATTTCTTCCGAAAAGAGTCGGTTTGACACAAACCTTTGTCGGGGGCTGATACTGTGGGGTCGTTACCAAAATTGAATTTAAAACTAAAGTACATAATTATAAACATAATCGGTGATTACAAAGGTAGTCTAATAAACCTGAACTGACGCAAGTAAGGATACAAAAATAACGACCTGCTGGCCCTAATTGATCAAACGACCGATCATTTTTCCAACAGATACCGTGTGGAACGAAATTTTTGCGGGAGTTTATTTTTGCGGATTGGCGGTTTTTTGGGTTTTGTGGGAACTAATTTTTGCGATTAGAACAGACTGGTTTTTCTTGCTGGGGATCAATTTTTGCGATTTCAGAAAGTACCCAGTACCCAGCATTGATAATATTGATAATATTATTAACACTAAGTGTGCGTCAGTATTTTTCTGAAAAAAAGAGACCAGCTGTGATCGAAGAGACACGATTTTAGCCTGCGAAAACATCCGTTTCTCCTCGCTCTTCGCCGCTGGGGACGTTCCTCCCCGCGAAACGTCCCCAGCGGCGAAGAGCGAGGAGAAACGGATGTTTTCGCAGGCTAACACGATTTCTTGGTACTGTATTCTTGTGTAGTGAATTTAAGTTAGAGCATACAGTATTTCCTCTGGAGTAAGTTTTTGCGGAAAAATTTGTGCGGTAATTTTTATTTGCGGGAACTTATTTTTGCAAAGTACTGACATTCATTAAATCCTATCAATAAAATTCTGCCGTGAGTGAAATACACTCTTTTTTTTTATAAGAATGTTGTTTTTCCGGCCCAGGCTGAATATTCTTATTTTTCTGCCGATTTTAGGCTGAAAATATTCTTGTATTATTCTTAAATTATAGCTTTTGACATTTCCGTTTTAGAATTTATTGGGGTATATGTACATGTATTACATGTACCGTTCATCGAACTGTCATTAGCGTTGAACATTTTGCTATAGCTAGTGCAGGTTTTTTCGTATGGTGGCTAGTTTCTCCGTTCAGAGAAGGGAATAATTTTATACGGTTAAGTTAAAAACATAAAATTGTATTGTATTTACAGATGTTTCAACATACAAAATTATATCTATCCTATTCAAAATCTCAGCCTCGGCTTTATTCTTAAAATATTCTTAAAATTTCGCAAATTTCAGCCTCGACATTCTTATAAAATATATTCTTATAAAAAAAAAAGAGTGTAGTGAAAATGACAAGAAGACAGAAGGGAAAAAATAATAACAGATCAGTCCACTGGATTTAAAATTGTTTAGCCTGGCACTTTTGTGTAAGCGAACGGGAATGACATATTTATTTGTTCTGGAGCGATGAATTTTTTTTTTTAAAAGCACGGTTCATAGCAAAAATTTGCCAAAACTTTAACTGAGAGTCATTGCCAGATTCTATGGTATTTTTTCTCGTTCCTTTTTTTTTTTTAGTTCTGTTTGGTCACATGAACCGTGATGTCAGCTTTTTAAGTTAAGATAACTATGTTTAGGCTGTTGTGGACATGTCTCATATTATCTCAGTCGTGAGATAAGAAACCTTTATTACACTTGGGTTCAAATTTTATTACGGATAGACCCGAGTTATTACATTTGGGTCCAGTTATTACATGTGTGCCTTCCACAAGTTCCACTAACAAGAAATCCGGATCCCTGA